TATCAATTTCAGTCGTTCCCTGGACACACCTGCCCTTGGGTATTTTTCCACTCCTCTGGGGGCAGACTGCTCTTTGGACTTGCCCAGCTGTCATCTTGGGGCTCCCCAAAGCTTTTCTTCTGTCTTAGATTTCTTTTTTGCCAGATCCCAAGTTTCCCCTCACCTTTTTAAAATTTACCTTCTCATTATATCCTTTGGTGGCTTCCTAAGAAATGGAACATAGGAGGAAAAAAAAAACCTGAGACCTTGGATACCTACAAATGTCTTTATTCTCCCTTCACACTTGTTAATTTGGTTATAGAATTCTAGGTTCAAAGTTATTCTCCCTCAGAAGTTTGGAAGTAATTCTCCCCTGTCTTCTGGCTCCCAGTGCTATTCTAATTCCACATCCTTGGGGGCATGTCACTTCTGTTTTCTTCCTAAAAGAAAAAAATAAGACAGCCATTTCCTCTTCTGCATCTGGATATTGTCAGGTGGGAATGTGATGCTTGGAATTGCTTCCATCCTTTTTCAGCCATGAGGGGAAGGCCAAAGAAACCACAAATAAGACGATATGATGCCCCAGTGTCTTTGAACCACTGGGTTTAACCATCTCTAAAACCAGCCTATCTAAAGATCCTCAGAATGTGGGGTCATAAGCTCGTTATACTTTAAGTACGAAAGTGTGGTCTGAGGCCACCAGAATCAGCACCACCTGAGATCTTATTAGAAATGAAAAAAGAAAGAAAGAAAGAAAAAGAAAGAAAGAAAGAAAAAGAAAAAGAAAGAAAGAAAGAAAGAAAGAATGAAAAAGAAAGAAAGAAAGAAAAAGAAAGAAAGAAAGAAAGAAAGAAAGAAAGAAAGAAAGAAAGAAAGAAAGAAAGAAAGAAAGAAAAAGAAATGCAGAACCTCAGGCCTCACTCCGGACCCACTGAATGAGGATCTGCATCTTAACAAAATCCCCAAAGGATTGATATGATGTTCAAGTTGGAGAAGTACTGCTTTTAGCCGTATATAGCTATCTCCCTTCTTATCTAGAGCCCAACACGTTCTAACTGATAGAGTGGGTGTAGCCAACAACCTTGAAACCACAAGTCACAACCCCTTGGCTCACTTTGATTCCAGCAACAGTTTCCGAGGTAAGAAGATTTCTGAAGATGTCCCTGCCCCTGAGACTCTTGACCTTGGGCTATTCCTCCAAATACTAATATAGTTACTGCTGTGAAGGGCTTTGCAGTTGGGATTAAGGTTATTACTAATCAGTTGGCCTTAAAACAGAGAAATTATCCTGGTGTATCCAACAGGGTTTGATGTATCACACGAGCTCTTCTGAGTAGAAGAGGAAGTCAGAGAGATTCAGTGTGTGAGGCTGAGCCTGACGTTGCTGGCTTTGAAAATCCAGGCAGCCACAAATCAAGAAATGCAGGCAGCCTTTTTCTTGAAGGTGAGAAAGACCCTCACCTGACAGCCAGCAAGGAAGTGGGAACTTCAGTTCTACAATTCCATAGAACTGAGGTTCTATGCCAACCATCTGGGATTCGGATCCATTCCTAAAGCCTCTACAAAGGAGCAGAGTCCTGCCAACACTTTGATTTTGGTCTTGTGAGACTAAGCAGAAAACCAGCTGTGCCTGGACTTCTGGCTTACAGAAATTGTGAGATAGTACACTTTCCTGCTGTTTTAAGCTGCTAAGTCTGTTTTTTCTAGATGGTACAGTTAGGAGGGACAGTTCTGCTAAGTCCAGACTTACCTCTACCTGGCAGCATCCCACTTCAAACCTACGATGTGTCTGTCTTTATACCTGCCTCAGGACCTTCTCTGACATCACGGGAGCCTACCTGGCACAAAGGAGACCAGAAGGGTGAGGAAGTTAATAGCCCTAAGGAAAACACTCAACCCGTGGATGATGGGGGCCAGGAGATAATTGCTTTAGCTTTAACCTTGTAATTCTGGGAGGCATTTGTACACTTCTTAGAAGGCAGACTCAAAGCCCCATTAGCTGTAGCAGAAACCTCCATAATGTACCCTTCACTCGTTTGCCTCTTATTTTTTTGTCCCATTCTCCTCGATTCCTTGCTCTTGCTTCCTCCGATTACCCTCCAAATGCCCACCCTTCTCCCAAGTCCTTTTATCAATCTCTACTTGAGATTGACAGGCAACCGGTAAAGTCCACTCCATGAACTCATCTTGCTCAGAATTAAAGAGGTTAATTTACTGGAAGATTATTTCAGTGTTTCACACCAAAACCAGGCCTCAAGGAAAACCAAGATCAGGGATCCAATACCACTAAGTTCCTCTCTGTTCCTTGTTCCTTCCCTAATGGTATTACTTTTAGAGAAAAAGGTGGAATCTACCCTCAGCAACAGAGAGAAAAATCCCAGAGAAGGATTGTAATTGATGACCCTTGGGTTGGTGTCTGTGATTGGTACAGTGGGAAACAGGGCACTCTCATTGGTTCCCTGTGGGTCAGGGTTCTAGCCCCGATCAAAGTATGGCTGGGCGGTAATGTCAGGGCCTTCAGGCATGGCCAGTGGAAGCCACCATTACATTGCAGGGCATTCCCAGAAATAGGGGAATGACTGAGAGATGGGGAAACTCCACTAGTTTTCTAAAACCATTGACATCCACTCTCACTTCTCTTAACTGCTGTGGGAAACAAAGGCAGAAGGAAATGAAGATAAAATTAAATGTCCTTATAACCTTCAGCCCATTGACATATACTTGAGATAGGCAGATTATAACATTCTTCCAGGATCCTGCAAGTCTTCTTTAGCATATGAAAGTCCTTTTGGAACTTCCCTTATCTTTGCTTCCCCAACCCCAAGGTATATTAATCACTGCCCCTCACAATCCCTGGGCAGCTGGGAGCAGCAGGCAGCAGCAGGCAGCAGCTCTTTCTGCCCACGGTCCCGTCCCTGTGCTTTAATAAAACGACCGTTTTGCACCAAAAACATCTCAAGAATTCTTTCTTGGCTGTCGGCTCTGGACTCCACCAACACACAACAACATTCCAAAAAAAAACAAAAACAAAAAAAAAACCCAAACCAAAAACTACATCACTACTTCCTCTTTCCTGATTCTTCCTCAGCTTCCCTCACATGCTGTCCTTCCTCTGCCCAGTGCATAAATGCTGGTGTTCCTGAAAGTTCCATCTTTATTCTTTTTCTCTTCCCATTCTTATTCATTTCCAGAGTTATCTAACTCCACCGTAGACATCATGGCCTTCTCCCCAACATTTAATCCTCTCCAAACATTTGATCTAATCTAGTCATGGTAGTTCCATCCCCCTCGGCAACAATTTGTTTGGGATGAACAGGACTTAGTCGGATTAGATGGGTGAGATTTAAGGAGAAACTTGCTTAGGACTTCTGGGAAAGAGAAATCAGTCTTACTGTTGCCTGTTGGATGGGAAAGGGGAGCATGCTGCCTCAATTGTCCCCAGCAGTCATTCTGTGATATGAGGGGAGCCAGCTTCGGTATGAAGTCAATGGTGGGCACAGCAGAGCAGTGAGACAGAGGTGTCTCAGGTTCCTAATTGTTCCGAGTTGGTGAGCCAGGGAATCTACTCGCTCTGCCCTACCATTGGATTTCCTGCATTGTGAGACGATAGATTTCCAAACTGCATAAACCAGTTTGAATCAGGTGCCTGCTGCTTGGAGATGCCAGCATCCTACTTAATTCACACTCACTACTATGAATTCTCTCAAACTCGCTTTCCTGGGCTCCAGACCTACCCACATTTCCCAGCTTTGCTCCTCTTCTTCCTGGGTTTCCTACGATTCTTTCACATAAGAAAGAAGAATCCGGTGCCTACTATTATGCCAAGCTCTGTTGTAGACACTGCAGCTAGAGCAGTTGCTGAAACAAGATTGCTGTCCTCATGGACCAGTGAAGGAGGCAGACAATAAACAAAACTATTTTCTGAATAAATGAAATAACGAACAATGCGGAGTAGGAACTCAGTGTTGAGTAAAAAAGTTATCATTGCCTAGAGAATATCAGCCCAGAGACTGGTATTCACGCAACAGAGAGCCCTGGGAACTGTCAGACCCTGCTCTTGCAGCCCCCCATGGAATCTAGAAGGGTAAATAACCACCCAGGGCCAGCCCTCTGGAGCTGAGTCCAGAAAGAATGCGAACATGGACTGAGTGCTAATTTTGTCAGGCCCTCTATAAAGTGACTTTGGGTAACTATTCTCATTTAGTCCTCAACCGATTCTAGGAGTTCGTGCAAGGACAAACAGTCTGGCCAGTGACGAGAGCTCCCTCCAGCCAGCCCTGACCCTTGGGTTTAGGCCGGGTGCGTGTGACTTTGTGCAAGTCACGGTCGGCCTCGTCTTTCCACGCTCTAGCCAGTGTCTGTAGCGTCTGACCCCTGGGGGTTCCCCGGCGCCCCAAGCTTCAGAGGCTGCCTGGGGTGGGGGAGGGGGTCCGAGGGATGGGGGGCCGAATGCAAAGAAGGGAGGTCACTGAGATGAGTACAGAGGCTGTCAGTGAAGTCAGTAAGGAGGGATGAGTGAGTAAGGAGACCCTGGGAGAGAGAGACGGGCCCTGACCTTCGCACTCTTCCCCACCCTGCCCTCTGCTCCCACGCGCCGTCGGCCGCCGCTGCCCCGACCTTCTCCTGGGCTCCGGAAGGAGGGCATTCCCTTTCCTCCACTGGGTGCCTCTACGCCACTGGCCCGGGCCGAAAGGCGACAAATGCTCCGCGAGCCATGCAGCTTGACTAGGCCCCTGCTCCTTTGCCCCGGAACTCGCAATTCTGCTACTCTTCGCCTCTCCTCTCGTCCACTCCCCCCTCGGCTCCTGACCACTTGGTCTGCGCCATCTGCATTCGCTGTGTGCCGGGCCCGCCCGCACTGCGGGGGAGAGGCGGGGAGCCGCCCACGGCGCGCTCGGCGCTCGGCGTCGCCGTCTCCCTGGGACGCGCGCGGGCTGTGCGGCGCGCGGGAGCCGGGCGGGCAGCCATGGCGCGGCGCGCGGGGAGGTAGCCGGGCGGGCCGCGGGGAGCGCAGGGCCGCCATGGCCCGGCGGCGGCGCCGCGCCTGCATCGCGCTGTTCCTGGTGCTGCTCTTCGCCTTCGGCACCCTAATGGGCCTGCGCACGCTCAAGGCTCCGGACGGACTCCCGGCGCTGGGCCCGGGCCTGGAGCTGGCGCCCTTTGAGCGACGCCCGGAGGGAGCCCCCGCGCCCGCCGCCCGGGCCCCAGCCGCCCCCGCCGCGCCGCCCCCGCCGCCGCCCCCGCCCCGCACCGCTGGCCCGGGCAGTCCCCCGGGCCCGGCTCCCGCGGAGGCCGAGCCCGCCCCCGGGCAGAGTCTGCGCGTCTACTCGGACCTGCACGCCTTCTACTACTCCTGGTACGGGAGCCCGCAGCGCGAGGGCCACTACATTCACTGGGACCACGTCATGGTGCCGCACTGGGACCCCAAGATCTCGGCCAGCTATCCCCGCGGCCGCCATAGTCCTCCCGACGACTTGGGCTCCAGCTTCTACCCGGAGCTGGGGCCCTACAGCTCCCGGGACCCCGAGGTGCTGCGGGAGCACATGACCCAGCTCAAGGAAGCCGCCATCGGTGAGTTCCCCCCACCCCCGGGCGGCCCTGCTCCCCAGCCTCACCCTTCCTCAGTTTCCACACCCCAGCTCCCGCTGGTCCTGTCACCGGGCCTCTGATCCCATTCACCCTTCCGCCTAGCTTCTTACTCCCTCCCTTCTATTTTCGTTCAGCGCTTACCGCGCGGCGCCGCCCCCCAACTCCTGATATTGACTTCCCCATCTCTGCCACTTGAACCCTCACAGCAGGGCCCTTTCATAGGGCGGAGCTGCCGGGCGGGCCAGTGGAAGAAGGCATTTGCTCCGAGCTGTCCCAAGTAGGGACAGCAGGGAGGAGGAGAAAGTCTTCATGTCTCTTGGGTTTCTAGGCTTGGTAAGTGAGGACTGGGCATCCTGGCCCTGCAGGAGTGGAGTTCAGAGGAGCCACGCCTGGGATGGCCAATGCTTTCACACCAGATACAAGATAGGGCAGCAACCCTTCCAGTTTTTGCTGGCTGCAGGAAGTTTGCCCATGTTGGACCCTGCTGTTTGCAGTAGAGGGGGCAGGAGGTTTTCTTCAAGTACTCTGCTTGCAAAGAGGTCCCTGGGAGCCTCTCTTGTAGGCAGGCTCGGGTGGGGAGGCTCACTTCTTTCGGATTGTGTTACTGAATTCTCCTGGAGTTTAGAACACATTTCAATTTATCTAGAGATGGTTAGTGAATGGGGAGAGGAGTTGAATGACAGAGACAATGGTGGGAGGTATTTACAGATAAATAACACAGAGGCTACCCCTCAGGATTTTATGAGACAAATGTTATTTCCCTCGGGAAGCATCAGATGACCTCTGCATGGGGCTCTTATCCCTGCGGGACCTTAGAGGGGCCCCTCTTCTCCAGAGAGGACTGTGGCTTCCAGATGGGTGTGGCATCATCCAGTATTTCCTTTTGTTCTACTTCTTGCGGATGCAAGCGGAAGTCTTGAGTCCTCCTGGCTTTTCTCAGGCTCCTTCCCCGCTTGGTGCGCAAAGGTTCCCGCTGCCGCGGCGCTTCAGCACCGCGGGCGTGGACAGCTCCGGGACGCTAGGCTCTGGGATCTGATCCGTAAGACGTGAACCTGGCAGGAGCCTCGCTCAAGGTTTCATTCAGAAACCATTTTGCAGTTGGAGATGGTTTGGGAGGAAACGCATCTCTGTTGCGGGGGTACTGTGTGTCTCTGAAGTAGCTACTCTGTTGTGTCTCAGGCGTCCTGGTCCTGTCCTGGTACCCACCTGGCATGGCTGATGATAACGGGGAACCCTCAGGCGACCTGGTACCCGCCATTCTTGACACCGCCCATCAGTACAACATCCAGGTGAGTGTCCAAAGAAGAGGTCAGGTGCTCTTTGGCCCATTCTGGAGATTTCCCCTTCTCTGCCCACAGGGTTAGTTTTTGGCTTTAGCCCAGGTATGGCAAATACACAGCAAGTGGTATGTGTGTGGGGGGGTGAGGTTCTAATAAATAGCACCTGTCACTGTTATTTTCTTGAATTCTGGGGGGGGAAATCGGGAAAACTAAATATAGGAGAAATGGAAGATTGAATAAGTATCACTGTGATAGAGTTAGGTAGGAGACCCTGACTCTTGAATAGAGGGCAGGCAAGGGCCAAATGGGCCCAGAAACCAAACGTCTCAGATCCCTAGTGGGAGGCAGTGCTGGACCTCAAGGAGTAAAGTACAGGCAGGCGGGTGCACTTTCAAGAGGAATGATGGAGCAGAGCTAAGCATGTCCAGTTACTTTCCCCAAATGAACCTAGTAAGTCATTCCCCTCTCCTGCGGTGAAGGAAGAGAAACAGCAGAGAGGAGCCCCACCCCATTCCTGAGCCCATCACCGACATGTTTAACAGATCAGAGCACCCCTGCCCGACAGCTTCCGCAAACTTCTTCCCATGGTTTCAGACAGCTAGTGCCAATCACGTGGAGCTGGCACATAAGCTCAGACCTATTAGCCATCCAGTGACATCCCATCAGAATGATTCCCAGATGCCTGCTGTGGGAGGTGGCCAGGCTTCTTGGCCCTCTTTTTCTGACCCTAAGGGCAGTGGCTGCTTTTATCTCTGTTATGCCCACTGTTGCCAGGCCTCCGCCTCCAAGCCCCAGTGGAAACATGAGCCTTATAGGTTGTGGTCCCTGGGCAGCTACTCACCTGACCAGTACCTCCTGTTTGTGGCAGGTGGCCTTCCATATCCAACCCTACAAGGGCCGGGATGACATCACTCTGCATGACAACATCAAGTACATCATTGACACGTAAGGCTGCTGTGGGGCCTGGATCTCAAAGGGGATCAAAAAGGGGGAGGGGATAGATTTAGAGGGGTAGGTCAAGAGACACCAGGGCAGAATGCCAGTGTCCTCAGCAGCTACTTCCTACTAATACAGTACTAGGCTTGGAGTCAGCAACCTGGGTTTGAATTCCAGTTCTGCAGCCTCCAATCTGTGATCTGTTGCAAGCCTCTTAACCTTTGAGTCTTGTGAGAATTAGAGGAGTTAATATATGGGGGAATGGCTTATACTGTGCTTGCAGGTTTCATCCACTCACTCAAAAAGTACTTGAGTGCCTACAGGTGTCCGGGCACTGTCCTCAGCCCCGGTTGTACAGTCATGGGTAGGACTGGCGAGGTTTACATTCTAATGTGTGGCCGCAGTGAGGCAGATAATAGTTACACACGAAAAATCACATAGTGGCCCATGCGATTAGAAAGTGATAATAAAGAATAGGGCAGGGTATTGTGTTAGAGCATGCCTGAGAATGGGTGCTAGACTTCAGAACAGGTGGTCAAGGGAGCCTCTCTGAGGAGAGGATGTGTGAGCTAACACCTGAAGGAAGAGTCAGCTCTGCAAAGATCTGGGGCAGGCAGAAAATTCCAGGCAGAGGGCTGTCAGATCCAAAGGCTCACGATGGGACAAGTTTGACAGCAGAATAAGAGGCCTGTGTAGCTCGTGCGTGGAGATGGGGTAATAGAAGGAGTGGAGGTGGGCAGGGCCAGATCAAGTTGGAGGGGCCTTGGCAGGTCTCAGTCAGGAGCAAGCAGATCTGGTTCATGCCTTAGTGGATCAAAGGGAGCCAGAAGCAGGAGCCTGGAGACCGGTTAGCTGGCTGCTTCGGTCCCAACGGGGGAGGGGGGTGGTGTGGTGTGGGACAAGGAAGTGAGGCTTGAATGGAGGGAGGCTGAGGCTGGGGAGATGTGGGTGGGAACTAGGTTCTTGCTCAGGGGCATGAGGAGTGCAAGCGTGGGGACACGCTGGGTCCCACATCACACTTGGGCATCAGGAAAGGTCTGGCCCACGGCTTGTCCTGCAGCTGTGCTGGCTGCCCCCTCCTCGGCAGCCAGCTCAGGTTCTTCTCCCTCCCACTCCCCAGGTATGGCTCCCATGGGGCATTTTACCGCTATAAGAACAGCATGGGTAAGAGCCTCCCACTCTTTTATATCTACGACTCATACCTGACATCCCCTGAGGCCTGGGCCCACCTCTTGACACCCAACGGGCCCCACTCGATCCGCAACACCCCCTACGATGGGGTCTTCATCGCGCTGCTGGTGGAGGAGGGCCACACCCACGACATCCTGGCTGCTGGGTTTGATGGCATGTATACCTACTTCGCCTCCAACGGTTTCTCCTTCGGCTCCTCCCATCAGAACTGGAAGGCTGTGAAGAGCTTTTGTGATGCCCACAACCTCATGTTCATCCCCAGCGTGGGGCCTGGCTACATTGACACCAGCATCCGGCCCTGGAACAACCACAATACTCGGAACAGGGTCAATGGCAAGTACTATGAGACAGCCTTGCAGGCAGCCCTGACCGTGAGGCCCGAGATTGTCTCCATCACATCTTTCAATGAGTGGCACGAGGGCACCCAGATCGAGAAGGCCATCCCCAAGAAGACCCCAACGCGGCTGTATCTGGACTACCTGCCTCACCAGCCCAGCCTGTACCTGGAGCTGACTCGCCGCTGGGCGGAGCACTTCATCAAAGAGAAGGAGCAGTGGCTGATGTGAGAAGCCTGGGGCCACGAGGTGCCAATGTCCTGGCCTCCCCGGAAGGTGTCACTGTAGGGGGCTCAGCTGAGGTTGGAGGCACTCGCTGGTTCCCCAGTCAGCAGCGGGGCGCCTCTGGGTGGGCCATCAAGCCTGGGCCCATGTGGAACAGAGCTTGTTCCTCAGGCATGTGGGGCTGGGGGGCTCTGCACGGACAGGAAGTGAGGCAGGGTTCCAGAGAGGGCCCCAGAGAGGCTGGCGGGTGACTGGACTCAGCCGAGGGCCGCTCCACATCCTGTCGTAACACTTTAAAATGATCCCTTCGAGCTTGGAACTCAGTAGGTTGGTGTTGCATAGCAGTCCCGAAGTCACTGCTGTTAGGAGGGGTCAGGGCTCTGGGCGAGCACGTGCCCTGCTGCCTCTTCAGTCTTCTTCTGTCTTCTCCAAGTGAGGGAACCACATTTGCAACTTCCCAAGAGGGAAATTCTAGGTTTAAGCCCTTCCCAATAGACTCCTGAACACAACAATCAGGAAATAATCCTGAGCCTTTGTACACTCATTCAACACATACTGACAGAGTACCTACTATGTGCTAGAGACTTCACATGGAAAGGTTTCTTTCTCCCAGAAGCTTACAGGATCCAGCTTTCCTTATTTGGCGTGGCCTTGTAGCTAGTGCCTGAGCACAGTTTTTCCCTTTTTTGCAGTTTTCTCCAATGCTGAGTTTTTTTTTCTTCTTCTTCTTCCTCAAGAAAATACCTCTGTGCTCCAGAGCCCACATTTCCCCAGATGACCATCTAGCTCCAGGGAGAGGACCAGGACATCCTCCCTCCCTTTAGCTGCCTAAACTGAATGAGGCCCACTCACTAGAGCCATTTTCAGAGCTACTGTGATTTCTATCAATTAAATATGACATGGTCTTCTCAAGTAAGCATTCCTTTTGCTCTCTTCAAGCCTTCCTGAACTCTGAGCCCTCCCTCAAATGCTGTGACAAACTGACATGTGAGATGGGCTGGCCAGTGTCAGCAAAACGAAGAGTGAGTTTGCTTCAGAAACCAGGAGTGTAATCAAGACTTTTAGTGGGGATATTTAACGGTGCTTATTTACAAATAAGCGAGTATACTCGTTGTGGGGACCCTCAAAGCAGGCCCTGGAACACCTTCTTGGCAAGATTTAGGAGCTACTTGGAAATATGTGCATTACTTTATGGGCTCAAGCCTGAATCCCAGTTGTGGGAATGGGGTGCAAGGCAGGAGGGGAGGAAGTGGGGCCTACGGATTACTACGGGACCCCCAGCTCCAGTGAGGTGACGAGCACTGGATGCCACAATGGACAGGGCAGATCAGGCAGGAGCACAGTGCTGGATGGTGACCCGCAGTACTTTACAGAAGGGAAAAACACAGAGGCTTCATTTCACACATACACAGTTTGAAAAACATTAAAAGCATGGCAAGCTCGGGGCCAGGAACAGTAATTCTCATTCACTGCAGCTTGATGAGTTCTTTCGGAGGCTAAACTGTAGCAAGAGCCATAAAGATGTTCATACACTTTGACCCTGTAATCCTACCCCTGAGGAAATAATTCAAAGGAAGAAAAACAAACTATTTACAAAACATTTCTTATTAAAGAAAAACAAGGTTTAAATAGTCAAGAATAATTCTGTTTAACATTTGGTATACATATGAATAAAGGCTTTGAGTACACACTGGATTCAAATAAAGGTATTACAGGCATAACTCATTATAATTTATTTTACGACTAAATAAGAAAAAAGCTACTAGCTGAAAAGAATAGTGGAGATTTGTTTTCCAGTATTCTTTGATTTGGACTTCCCTACCCCCGCCCCTTGCCAACGGAGCTCACTTCTCACCATTAGTCCAAAATGCTGACTTCTCTCCACCAGGCCTTCCGGCACACCACACCACCAGCCTCTCCAGTTCAGAGAAAATAGTGTTGGGCCTGTGGCTCGACAGTCTTTATCCTACTGTGGTTCCAGCTTCAGGTGCCTAAGTACACGCCTTTGGCCACTTGGAGACTTTTAAACAGCACCAGCTGGTGCTCTGGGGCTGATTTGGACCTTAAATGCCACTACCCGCCAGACAGGGGGGCTCCAACTGGATTCTAAATCTGTTCCTCAAATTATTTTTCAGAAAAGATTTTTGAAAAAGAAACTTACTAGAACAAGGCCATCCTAGGAATGTTCTCAAAGTCTCCACGTCACCTTTTGGCTGATATTTGAAATTACAGATAATAAATATGACCTCCCCACCAGGTGTGAGACGAAACCAGCAGCTTCTGGGGCTTGTTCTACAGTGTTCAGAAAGACGCAGTGCCTTAAAGAGTCAGACTAGTGACGTCGCAGCCCCAGTGGCCTCTGTCAATGAGGCCTTGCCAGTCCCCAGCGGACAGACACACAGTGTCCAGCACCAGTCCTCAGGCCCTCCCCTCTTCCTGAGATGCAGAAGCAGGATCAGTGCGAGGGGAGCAGCCCGTACTTCTGCTGGAGGATGGCTGTGGTACTCTCCAGGGCACTGAGGAAGAAATGGAGGCAGTTCAAGTTCGACTTCTCAAAGCCCCGAGCCCAGCAGAGTCTGGTGATCAGCGACCTCTAAACCCTCTGGTCTTAACTATGCTCTCTTCACCAAATCCGTGATGAATCCTTTGAAACCTCAAAAAGCCAGCAAACACCAGCAAACTTAGTGCCCCTCCATCCACCACTTCTCCAAACCTGCCCACCCTGCTCAGGATAAGAGAGAGGAGTGCCAATCTTTATTTGGTTAAGGCCTTTTTTTTTTTGCACCTTCCAACCTTCCTCAAATTCTATCCCCATACCACAGCAAAGAGACTCACCAGCCTGGACGAAGGATGCCAAACTTTCCAGGTACAGACAAATCAACCACAGTTGAGCCCAGGCGATACTCGGAGCTCTGGCCGTCCCCAATTGGTCCCCCATCAATGACCAGGGACAACTGAGGCCAGAGGTCCTGGAACTCCTGAGGAGAGGGAGAGGAAGCACGGACACTACCCCTAGCATCTGCAATGATGTCATGATGCACACAGCCCTCATAAGGAGACGAAGACCGCACACTTCTAAAACAGGAGGCATCTTCCTTAAAGCAGGGGAAGGAACCTCATTCAGTTAAGGTCAGTTAGCACCTAGGACATGGCATCCTATGAGGTTTGGAGCCACCCCAGGTTAGCACCTCAAGTAACACCTATCTAGAGCTTAAAGAAAATCTTGCTGTGCCAAGAGGAGATTCCACACAGTGCTTCTGCTGGGGCCAAATTGGTCCAATAGCTGGAGTCCTAGGTGGGTGTCCAAAGATGTGGGCTCTACCCTGAACTTTCGCCTAGATTTCTATGTCACCGCATGCAAATTACTTCATCCAGAGCATCTCCTGGATCTCAGGAGAACTCTGGGTAAGGGTAGGGAGAGGAAGACAGGGTGGACTCGGCACTTGCATGCCACCAGCACTCAATCCTTGGGCTACAGGAAGGATACCGCCTCTGAAATCCGTGGCCTGAACTGTTAACTGGGTTAGAGCGTCACCCGCTCTCTCCACCACCACCACTCATGGCAACACTGCAGTGGTGGCTAGGCCTGGGCATTTGGGATGGAGGAGCCTAACCACCAGTTACTGCACTGGACGGGTCAAATGTTTGCTGACAAGAATACCCCTACCCCCCAATCCCCACTGCCTCGGGCATAGCCACCAGGTAAAGCCTGCAGTCCCAAAATAAGAAAGGATGCCGGGCCCTCAGTTTCTAAGGCTCCCGAAGCCACTCTCTAGGTCTGGGCATGGAAAACCCCATCACTGTGCTACGTTTTACATTTAAGTTCAGGAAGAAGAAAAATGTGTGGTAAGTGACATTTCTTTGTGTTTGCCTTCCTTCCACACTATGCAGTCAAGACATAATTAGTTTGATTCTTTGACCTGGCTAGTGGCCAGGGAAGAGAACAGCGTCAGGGGTCCCTGGGCCAAGTTCTCGGAGTCTTAACTTTCGTTACAGCACTGTTGTAAAGACTTACTGCCTAACTATATTTTCAAACAGCTACCACCACAAAAAGGGGGAAAAAACTACATTTACCATGATGTTATTACTAAAAAGACAACAAGACGAAAACACCAATTATCCCCTCTTACCTCTCAAGCTTTTTAATTAAACCTTTCCAAGATTCTTTAATTTGGATCCCCCCCAACCCACTCCTGCCAACCTGACAGACTTCCCACCACCAGACTAAATGCGTGAGCCTCCTGCAACGCATTCCAGGGAACCATCAACCCTACTAATTCAGAGGAAACTGTGTCTGGCCTGGTGATGTTTCTGGGGGGAGGACGGGTAACTTACCTCGACATTCAGAGAACTGGCCTGGGAGCTAAGGTTGGCACTGGTGAGAGCGAGTGGTCCCCCGAACACCTGGACCAAATCCTGTATGAAGGCATGGTCAGGAATCCGGATGCCTACAAGCTATGAGGCCAGGGGAAAGGGGATAGTCAGAAAGGTTGTAAGGGGTGGGGAATGGCTCTAGCCTGGATCCTAGTGAAAGCCAGAGGGCAGGAGTCTGGGGACACAAGAGAAAATCTGACTCACAGGAGTAAAGGGGTTCAGGTCCTTATTGAGCTCCTTCGAGCGTTCCAACACCAGGGTCACTGGTCCTGGTAGTAAGTCTTTCAGGAGTCCCTCAGGTACCCTCACATGGCAGTACCTGGAAAACAGGGCACAAATCCATCCAAGAATGAAGGGTCGCTGCTGGTCCCACTCTAGATGGTAGCCAGACCTAGAAAAGGAAACCCTGGGGATTACAATGGGGTCTGTCTTCCCTCTTCACCTCCCTAAGAGTTTGAGAAGGGAGGCTCCAGAAGAACACCCTCGGCTTGGGGCCCACATGCTTCTGGTCCCCGAGACTACAACAGCTGCACAGTTAGCACGCTCCGTGTTTCATTTTCTTCCAGGCATCCCCTACTAAATTCAGCTATCGCGTTTGTTTCCTTCGTTGTTGTTGTTTTTAAACCGTGGGAGTCCCGACCCCCTCCCCTCATTATCACAAAAACGCCAGGAGAACAGGGACCCTGCCTGCCTCGTTCACCGCTGCGCCCCAGCATCTCGTTCAGGGACTGGAAGACGTTAAGTGCTCGATACACATTTCCAGTTCCGGATTCCTGGGTGAGCCTGGACAAGCCCCTCCCGCTCTCTGCGCCTCAGTCTCCCAAGCCTGTCACCGGAAGCCCCTCCCGCGGTGCCGCCCCCAGCGGGGCCGGGTCGGGGCGGCCTCACCTGTAGACGTCGGCCACGCGGCCCAGGCAGACGGCCAGCGGCTTGGCCTCGCTGCGGCCCTTGAGGCGGTACACAGCGCCCAGTGCCGCCGAGCAGCTCGCCGAACAGGCCAGGCCGTACAGCGTGTCCGTGGGGACGGCCACCACGGCGCCGGCGCGCAGCTCGGCCACGGCGGCCCGCAGCGCCTCGGTCCAGCCGGCGCGCTCCGGGTTTGCGGCCCGCACGGCCCCGCTCCCCGGGAGCCGCAACAGCCGGGCCCCCGGCGCCGCCGGAGCGGGGCTCGGCGGGCGGAGGAGGCGGCCCCTACGGGCGGAGCCCGCCGGCCCCTCGCTCAACCCCACGCTGGCAGCCACCGCGGCCCTCATCCCCCTGCACGGACGCGCCGGAGACATCCGCCCGGCCCCGCTTCCGGGAGGAAGTGACGCGCCCAGTCAGCTTCCGGCCAGGGAGGCTCGGCCCCACCTCCGCGCCGGGCAACTTAAAGGGACCGCGACCCCCAGGAGGATTGAAGGAGACCGGTGGGGACGGGGCGGGGCGCAGCTTTGCGGAGCCCTAGCGCAGCGCTGGGGAGGGGGGCGACCGAAAGGGGGGCGGTGGTCGGGCCGCGCAGGCGGAGATGGAATGGGGCCCGGGCTCAGACTGGTCACGGGGGTGAGAGGGGGCCCGTCGGGGCGGGGGGAAGGGGCTCAGACCCCGCGCGAGCGCCGGCCCTGACCGTGTGTGTGTCGCTCTCTCCCGGGCAGGGAGGCTGCCGGCGTGGACCGTGGGAAGGCGGGGCTGGGGCTCGGCGGGAGGCCACCCCCGCAGCCACCCCGGGATGAGCGCGCCCAGCAGCTGCTGGACGCGGTGGAGCAGCGGCAGCGGCAGCTCCTGGACACCATCGCCTCCTGCGAGGAGATGCTGCGGCAGCTGGGCCGCCGGCGCCCGGAGCCGGCTGGTGGCGGGGTCAGTGCCCACCCCGGGCTGGGCCTGGGAGGTGGGGACTGCCCCGTGGCTGGACTTGCTAAGCCCTAGTTTCCTCTGGAGGGTGGACGTGTCCCCACCGCCTTACCCCCCCGCCCCAACCTCCTTTCATCCGGGCGAGAGGCTTTGAAAAAGTTAAGTGCTATCCCAATGCCAAGTGGCCATCTCCTTGCGGGGCCTAATCCAGGGCCTTTCCTCTCCGCCTCACTTTTCCTTTCTGTTCCAACCAGAACGTCTCAGCCAAACCCGGAGCACCTCCCCAAACAGCTGTCTCCGCCAGAGGTGGCTTTCCAAAGGATGCTGGCGACGGAGCTGCGGAGCCCTGACCATCCCTGATGGGCGCCCTGACTTCTCTCCCTCCCGGGGCTGGTGGCTGGACTCGAACAACTCCCTTCAATAAAGGGGACAGTCTTCACTGGCAGTGGCTGGTACTTGGCTCTCAGCCTGGGGTGGCAGCTCTGCTAGCAGCTGGGTTCACTCCCACTTCATCCTGGCTGAAGGCAGTGCTGAGCTTTGAAATGTAGCCAACGAATACCCATTCTGATTACCGGATTTGGGCAGACCAGCAGTGCTCTCCAGAGTGGTCTGGCCTGCTTTGGGGGATCCAGGTGGTGTTACATGTCCATTTCATGCTTTGGGGGCTCCTAGCCCCACAAAACACTTTTAGCAGAGCCTTGATTAAAAGGAAACCTGCAGACTCTCCTGGTGACCGACCTTTCCTTTCTGTCCCCTGAGACTCAGCTGGGGAGGGGAGTTGGGCTAAGTAGTGGAAAATTGTCAACCATGGGTAGGTTTGGAAAGAAATGCCACAGATACTACCAGATTTAAATAAGCATTTAATTAGGATTTCATTAGTATTTAATATTGCTTTTTCAATTCCAAAAAGTTAAATTTTCACTTAACAGATATTTTAAAGTACAATATTAAGTTTATACAAAATGAGCAATTAAGCAAACACCATTATTTCACATTCTTCAAAAATACAAATTCATATTTACTCTTTTTTGGGTTGGGAGGTTTCTTCCTTTGGAAGTACTGAACCTGTAACGTTTTCATATCGCTCAGTGGAAGTCCGTTGTTCCCATGTTTCACACTTCAATAAATTTGATAGGCTTTCACATCCAAATAAAACCATTTGAGATTTAAAAAACTGTCACCAAGACCTCCGGCCAATGACTACTAGTGTGTGTCAAAAAAGAAGGCTCTCTGTGGGTCTTGCCTTTCCTGGCCAGAAGATGTGAGCCAGAGATTCAGCAAAAACCTGTTTCCAGCCACCTTCCCCAAAAGGGACTAGGAGGAGTTGACAGGGAAAGGTAACAGCCACCTTGAACTCTGTCCTCCCCACCCCCACATTCTCCGAAACACAACAAAGGATGTAGACTGTTGAATCAAAGGCGCCCTGGGGAGGCCTAAGGACTTGGGAGAAGGGCAAGAGAGGCCTCTGACTTGGCACCACTTCGAGGATAACAAGGATATTGCAAAAAACACCCCTGGGTTTTGGTGAAAAAAGTTTTTATGAAAAATTTTCCCATAAGAAAAAGAGTAGAAACTGCATTGAGCTGAGAAAGTGACACTACATTATCACCCAATTTTTGGCCCAGCAGGCACACCACCAAAAGGGCAGTGTGTGGTTTTAAACTTTGCTTCCAGTAAAAAAAGCTTGTACTATGTACACATTGACATAAGATCCAGTTTAATTTGCATTTTTCAGTGCAGACTGAGAAGCCCTCTGGAACAGGAGTAACAGTGAGAAATGCCCAAAGAGTGATCATCAGCTTCCCCAAAGGGCGTGAGAGGAAACACGGGACCCTCTCCCTGTCCCCCAAAAGTATGCAAGAGGAAATAGGCTAAACTGACTACCAACCAGAAATATGCAAAATTCCATTCTGTCGCCTCCCCCCACCCCCAATATTAGGGAATGGACAATTTCTCATCTATGTCACAGCAGGACTATTTGCATATTGATCTGTGGAAATCCTTCTGCTTTGGCTGAAGTGTTATTTCAAAACTTCTCTATTCTACAGTAGCCTGAGAATTGAAGATAAAATGGGGGGGGGAACTCCCCCCTCCGAGACAAAAGGGGAATATGGGGGAAGGAAGAAAGTCGATAAAGCAGATTATTAACAGCTTTGTTTACTGGATTTAATGAAGGCTGGAGACCTTTTTTCTTAAAGAGCCAGCACGGGCGGTGAGGGGAGCAGTAGGGAAATGGCTCATGTTGCCCGCTCCCCCACTACCACCACAACCTCCCAAACATATTTCTGATTGGTGGTGGAGGAAAATGTAAACTCTAGCAATACTGTTGCAGTTCCACAAAGCAATGGTTTCAGTGACTCTGGAGAAGTCTTTAAGATTAAGGACAATGAACGTGATTACAAATAGAAAAGTCTAGAAGGTGCCAGGTTTCTACCTAGGAACAACCTGTTCCTTCCTTTCAGGCATCACTTTGTAATGGTGAAGGCGGGGCAAGATGGCAAGGGACCAAGAAGTGATGAGAAAGGGCCTCAACAGTCAGCAGAAGAAAACAGGACCCGCAGCAGTTCTTCAGAGAGCCTGAGGGGGCGCCCTCGGGCACACAGGGAAGGCTTGCATAGATTGAGCAGTTGCTGAGAATGCATAATAGTGTTTCCCTATAGACAGCCTTAGAGCACAGGGCTGATCCAGCGGAAAAACGAGGCCAGGCCAGGGCCACATGGGACAACGACCGTCAAGCTACACATATTGCACCAAGGTAAGTGCTTTTCTTTTCACACCTCAATTTAACTTTTTATTCTGAGCAAAAAATAAAACTTTGTGGAAAGTATATATATGTATATATATATATACACAAAAGAAATTGCAGCAATTGGGTTAAAGATAAAATAACCTAAAGTGCTTTTTTATTTTATTATTTCTTTAATATACCAATATGAGGTTCTGCAAACTCATCCCTCTGGACACATTCAGCATTATACAAAGTCTCTCAGGAAAACCCACCCACCCTCCATGATCCCCATCAGTCCACTGCCTTGACCCTGAAGGTAAAACTCCAATCTACTGACTTTCCCAGAGCTGGTGGAGAGAAGTCCCTGGCTTCGACCCAGAGAGGTCTTCACACCTTAAGGCCCCTCCTGGGCTTTGTACCATGATCTCCTTCTAAGGGGAAAGGGGTGGAATTTAATAAATGACACCAACTCCTGTCACCAAACTAGTGATGCCCCCATGAGGCTGGCCAGACTCCCCCCCCGCCAACCAGGAGAGGCAGGGCCATTCTCCCTTGATGTCCCACCCGCGTGCTGGGGAAGGGCCCACTTTGCTAAGGCAGTCTGGGGGTGCCAGCCAGTTTCCTACCCCTTCCTAAGTCCACGAACTCCAGTCCCTGTTGCTGATGACACCCTGTAAAGGGGCGGTGGAGCTGGAGATGCTAGTGGGAGCTGGAAGCATACATCTACCGGGGAGAAATTATTAAGGTTACCATGGGAAGAAAAAAGGCTTGGCTTCACCTGCCCGAAGTCTGCAGCCCTTCCCTAACCTCACCACAGTTTCATTCCTGGGTTTGGGGAAGCACACCCTCCATGAAGGCTCTTTCTGGCTCCACTTTAGCCAGTGGCCTGCTCTTCCCCAAGGTCCCTGGCACCAGAGGCCAGGCTTTGCAGGAGGTGATGAAGGGAAAGAGCTCTGGAAGAGGAAGGAAAGACTGCCTGCCCTGTAGAAAAAAAACCTCTTTTTTCTACCGATTTTTCTAAAGCTAATTGGCTCTGATAGTCCCCCTTATAATTTTGAGTCACCCTCAAAAGGCAGATACTTCCACTAGAAAAATCTGTCATTCTAAATACTGTTTTAAGATGCTTCTTCATCTCCCCCAATCTTCGGAGAGCAGAAAAGCCACCGACCTACCTAGGCCCAAGAAGAGCGCAGCCCTGGCTAACTAGAAAGAAGAGACCATGAAACCATGGACACTTCCAATGGCCTTCCCTGGACTCCTGTTTCCCACCTCAGCTCCCAGGAATGGAATCCCTGGTGGCCCTAGGCTGATTATGTGGGGAGGTCATTCATGTCCTCTGATATGAGCTACCTTTGGGGCCCCATCACGTTGCTCTGTCAGAAGTTGTAGCAAAAACAGTGAGGTTCCTGCCTCAAAGCTTCCTATGGGTTCAACACCAAGAGACAGCCAAGGACAACCCACACTCAGCAACTGGTTTTCCAGGAAGACTAAGCCACTGTGGTAATAGAAGATTCCTCCCCCCTTATCAACTTCTGCTGAGGTCAGTGGTCACCAGAACCCACCAGCCTTTGGGGGAGGGGAGTGCAGAAGGTCAAAAAGAAATGGATTCTTCGGACTAGACTCCTGGAATGAGAAACCACCAGCTGCCTGGGGGAAGGTCCTTTTCTCTTCATGGTAGTACAACATTTACTACTTCTGCTCGCTTGTCCAACTCTGTCCCTGAAATTCTGTCAAAGGCAGGGCCTTTGGGCCCCCAGATAAATGATCAGCTCTGGATACTGTCTTGGCTGGCCCTGAGTAATAGCTCAGAGAACAGATGAGTGACACATGCAGATCTCTTTACATTAGGGAATGGAAAAAGAAGGCAAAATTATGGCTGCTGTCTGCCTGACACTGCTGACTCAGGAGAGCAGCCCTGTCTGTGGACCCCTGTTCCTCACCCAAGGCAAGAAGAGGCTCTTGGAGGCAGAGGCCTAGTCTAGACCCTGGGCCAGGCCTCATTTCTGAGCTCAGTGAGCTTGGTGAGCACTCATGACTACGTTAATATAGCCAGTTGAGAGAAACTTTCCATTTTAGTGTGAATTGTATTTTAAGTTTTATTTTAAAGAGGCAATGACTTGGAGCCAAAGGCAGACAGATGGATATAATTCTATACACAAATCAAAAAAATTTTTTTTCCTATAACACAACTTAATGAAACATTCCAAATGAGATAACTTATTGCAACATTTCAGGCTTTTTGGTGGAAGGGGGATTTTTGTTTTGTTTTGTTTTACCCTGAGTAGAAGATCGTTTTGTGGTTTTTATTTTTTTGTTTTAGTTTGTTTGTTTAGAAATCACATGACTAAGCTGAGCAAGTCACATCCTTCTTTGCACTGTACTAGGACTATATGCAAAATCCAGAGGGGTGAGAGGCGGAGATGGGCGGGGCCACCAAAAGCCTGGCTAGAACCTGGAACCAGGACACCTGGCCTGCCAATTACATGCCGCCTTAAAAAGAAAACAAAACAAAACAAAAAAAACAAAAAAACTCCCTTAAAGCTGCACCTTCTCCCGATAAGCAAAATGCAGCTCTTCTGCTCGGAGGAAGAAAATACCATTAAAGGCAGGCAGACCACCACCCAGCCACTGGCCATAAGCCACATGTCCACTCTAGGACAAAACAGGGACGTTCCCCAAGAAAAATGCACTGCGATCTGCAAGCCCTGGCTGTCAACCGAGAGAGGGAAAGAACCAGGGAAGCAAAGACCGGGATAACATGGTCAGAGCTTGCTCTGCACCCGCACGGACGGACAGCGGTCAACAGCTCGCCCAGGGCCCCCACAGAACCCGATCACCCACACAGCCTCAGGCCAGGCTTTTCGCTACCCACCGGGCCACAGCCAGCTGCTGGATGACACCTGCCACAGCCACCCTGAGCTCCAGCAACACCAAGAGCAAACAACAAAACCACCTCACCCAGTCCCTGTCAGGCTCACAGCTGTCTGACCTGCCTTGGCCACGCCCCCTCTGATGGAGCCAGGGTCTGGGCCAGCTGCGGCCTCAGACTCAGACTCAGAGGACGCACAGGGAGGAGCAACACCCGACACACTGAACTCTGCTGCCCAACCACAGAGACCCCAGTGCAAGTGATGGGCAGCATCAGACTGATGGAAGCCACACCCTTTCATTTCGAATGTTTATGCAAACGAGTAACCTTAATTTCCAAGTTCACATGACAATAAGCAAAAGTGACATACAGTGCAGCCAAACAGTTCATTTATAACTTAGCTTTTTTTTTGTTTTTTTTTTTGTTTTTTTTTCCAAAGATCAGTTCCTTAAAATGGATGCTCCTGGGATATGACTAAAGAAAATACGTCTGAAAGGTGAGGATTTCAAACAGTAGATTTCTTCATCCTTCGAACTGCTGACCCCCCCCAACCCCACCCCCGTGACGGCAGGCACCCCACCTTCTGCTTCCCGCTCGCCCTCCTTTCCCGGAGGTGAGCGCGTGCGGCCCTTTCACTTGGAGAAGCTGGTCAGGCCCATCTCCTCCTCCCCCTGCAGTAGTGCTTCAATGGGAATCAGATTGGACGGCGTGTCCAGGCTCTGGAGGGACAAAAACTCTGACACATCCATGGCACTTAACGTTTCTGTCTGAGGGTCTGAAGGAGTCTCTGCTTGTCTGCTTTGCTCACAGGAAGAGGGGACAGCGGAGGAGGACGACAGGGGGCCAGGGGGCGAGGGAAGAGTCTGTGGTGGTAGCTTCAGGCCGGGCCCGTCAGGAGGCTGGGGGCTCGGCTCTGCAGGGGGTGGGGAAGAACAGCCCTTCCTCCTGCCCGCCGCCCGCTCCTTGGCAGAGTCCCGGCACGCGCACTGACACTGACACGCCTCCTCTTGTTTGATGATGATCACAGGAACACTGAGGCCAATCTGCTGTACAGAGCTCCCTGCGAGAGAGGCAAGAGACACTGCTCCTCAAGCAGCCGCGGGCAGGGCCGTGAGGGCCGGGGCGGGGGGGGTACGGACTAGGTGGGTGCCAAATGCCATGGCGGCAGGAACAGTGGGGAGGGAGGATGCCATGCTGCAGGCTTCGCTCTGCCTGACACTCCCCATCCCCTCCAAGGCAAAGTCCCTTTTCCTCAGAAAGCCACACACACCATCTAGAGGACCCTGTATCTCCAGCTTCATTTCCAGCCATTCTCCCCTGGACCCTCCATTCCAGCCACAGCAGATGCCTCCCTTTTCCTGACATGTTCTTCATACCTCTGGGCCTCTGGGCTCTTCCTTCTGCCTAAACTCCCCACACAGGGCTGCTTTTCCGGAGAACTTAACTCTTCTTCCCTCTGAAGACACGGCTCGTCCCCTCCTCTCCCAAGGCTGCCAGGCCTTGACTCCAGCAGGCTCCCACCTAGGGCTGGCTCTCGGGCAGCCGGCCCACGAGCCTCCTGTCTGTGTGCACGGGGAGCACCTCTCTCCACACTGTGTGGGACATGTGGCTTGAGTCCCCCCTGCCCAAGATCAAGCTCCTGCAGAGCCTCTTGCTCACACTTGCATCCCTAGTCTCAGACACACGGTCGGTTGGGGGGATCCCCCTTAAAACTGCCAGCCTAGTGCTCACGCATCCTCCCGCTCTTTTGTGCGTGTCTGTGTACTCTGCACATGCACACTCTGAAATCAGACAGGCTGTGTGTGTCTCAAAAAAGCTAGAGACCAGGGGGAGGGAGAACAGAGTGGGAGTCAGGAGCTTGAGGACTGGGGCTTTGGCTCTGTCACAAACTCACTTAGGACTCCGGAGGAGTCACTTCATCTTTCAGAGCCCCGTTTCTTAATCTATAAAATAGTTTGAAAAAAAAAGGAACTTTCTGCTCTATAGGAGTCTCTGACCCAGATGCTATTTCTTCATTACTGTAATTAGAAAAAAGTCCAGTGAATTAACAGCTGCCCTCTTTGGCATTAACTGTGAGTCAAACTTTCTTCTGGTTACATTTAAAAGCTGTATCTGAGAGGGAAAGAACCATTACTCCTTAAGGAACGTTAAATGTGGTATTTATGCCGTAAGTGTGCTAACTTGCAATAGTTGTGAGAATGTGAAATACTCTAATAAATAAACAATACAATCTGACAAATTTGAGGTTTTAAAAACTGGGGGAAAGCAACAATGAACTGTGCCTCAAGGGGCCCAGAAAGTTGACTTGCTTTTAAAGCTCCCACACAATTACATACCTGTGCTACTGGCTACTGGCACTGCAGTGGTAAAAAACACCTTCTCAACTTTAGATGCTTGCTGCTGGGGAAAAAAAAAAAAATCACATTTACAGCCACTCAAGTATGGCAGATCTCCAAGGACCTGAAGCCTGCCCAACTGTACTGGTCATCCAAGAGGACAGAAAACCCTCAGTGTTCAAGGATTTTTGCACTGAGTGATGTTTTGTTTGTGCTCTGACATGAGGTCACTGCACTGTTGGACATTCAGTGCTGACGATGCAGCCGGCTTTGTCCCCTACCACTTGGCTGTCTCCCAGCTGCCCAATCTAGTAGGTTCTGTCTGCCCAAAGGCTCCGCCAAGGCTGCTTTCTTAAGCTGGGTCTTCTCACAGGGCTCCCCAGGGCTAGCTTCCCTGTAAGCCCGCCACTGCCGCCACACCCCGACACTTCTGTGAGGCTGGAAAGTTCTTTTGCCTCCTCAAGGATCAAGTTGCACACTAAGGACCGGCTAAGACCCTCTCATGGGCAGAAGAGCCCCGTGAAGTGTGCTGTAAGCCACACGGGGAGCAGCTCCAGGGTGGGCAGGCCCTGGCCTCAAGTCCAAGCCCCACCACCTCTTAGTTCTTGAGTCCAGGCACATGATTTAACATCTTAGACTCAGTTTCCTCATCTGTAAAATGGGGATGATAACCAAAGGACCTCCCAGAGGGCCCCCGTGAGGGTGAAATGAGAGGAGGTGTGTGGAGCCTGCGGCGCATGGTGAGCCCGCAGCAAATGTGCACTATTTATGTTACTATGAGGCGGACCATAGAGTGAGGCCCAGAGATCACCCCTTTCACTGTGGTAACACTTCCTGTTACACTGGCTACAGGATTTCTGCTTTCTTCAAGTATTATCTTAAAAAGGCTTTGTCTTTTATCCCTTTAAGGAGGGAAAAGGATCCCTCTTGGCTGAGTCTAGGAGGAATGTGAAAGCTTCTGGCTAAGTTACAGGAGCTGACACTATAAAATAATGATGGAGAAATGAGACCCATATTTACATACACAAAAATAAATTGTATGGAAAAGGAATGACACCTGCCCCATGCAGCTCCCCAGGGCAGATCCAGAAAAAAAAAATGATAAAAATGACACGGAGCAGATTGGATTACAACACCAAAAAGGCCTTTCCAGTGACTCTGGCTATCTGAACATGGAATCAGGTGGCCTCCAGAGGTGGCTGGCACCTGACCTGTGGGATCTGAACGCCCTGGCCTCACTGTTCGGCCCTAGACTACCTTTTCAGTTTGACAGCGTCACACCTCTACCCAGACATTCTCCTACTTGGCACGTCCTTTTCTCCATCTATTTCCCCCTCATACAAGGCTCACCTGCCCTGGAAGGCTACCCAACGAGCCCTGACTCTCTGCACCCCTCATCTGGCAGCACGATGTAGCAGTCAGGAGCACAGGCTCTGGGACCAATCTGTCTATGCTCAAATCCCAGCTTTGCCACTTATGAGCTGTGTGACCTTGAGCTAGTCACTTAACTTCTCTGGGCCTCAGCTCTCCACTGGTAAAATCATACCTACCTCCTAGGACTGTTGTGATTCAATGAGCAAAGCATTGAGAAGTGCTTAGTTACCGCAGTGGGTCACATTTAGACATACAGACATTTAGAGACTGTAAAAATATCAGTGGTTGCTAAGGGAGGGGATGACCAAGTGAAGAACAGGATTTTTAGGGTGGTGAATCTACTCTGAATACAGTAATGGGAGACACAGGACATCATGCATCTGTCAAAACCCACAGAATGGTGCACACAAAGAGTAAGCCCTAATGTAAACTCTGGACTTTAGTTAGTAATAATATATCGATACTGATTCATCATTTGTAACAAATGTGCCAGACTAATGCAAGACATTACTAATAGGGCAAACTGGGTGGGGGAGGGGGGTGGCCAGGAAGTGTATGGAAATTCTCTGTACCACCTGTTGCATAAAAAAAAAAAAAAAAAAAGGTAATCTAAGAATAATGTACGTAAGGTAATGACTGGCACATGTTAGACCCTCAATTTCAAAAAGTGCTTACTCAGCGCAGTGAGCCCTTACACATAGTAAGGGTTCAAAAAATCACTGCAGTTATTTTTTTATTACCATTTTTATTATTATTTGGCACTTTCCCTACTGGTAATGTTAACTTTCTTTGAGGCATTTTAACCTCTTTAACTAGAATGTAAGTTTTTATGAAAAAGAGATCATGGTTTTCACTTTTCTGTATCCCTAAGAGTATCATGCATGGTATCTGGTAAACACCAGGCCTCGGGGCGCCTGGGTGGCTCAGTTGGTTAAGTGTCTGCCTTGGGCTCCAGTCATGATCCCAGGGTCCTGGGATCGAGCCCCCACTCAGAAGGGAGCCTGCTTCTCCCTCCCTCTCCCTCTGCCCCTGCTCATATGCTCTCTCTTTTGCTCACTCCGTCTCTCAAATAAATAAATAAAATCGTAAAAAAAAAGAAAAAATACCAGGCCCTCAAAATATATTTGACTGAATGACCCAGTCATTTCCTTTGTCATCGAGACCAAACACTTTTGTAGAAATTGGCTCTCGAGGAGGCCCTGGGAGCACAGATTTCTCTCTCTGACTTGGCCACTGCTGTGTTTTCTGCCTGACGGGGGTCCCACCATCCCCTCACATCAGTCTGACTCTGCCTTGGACAAGGACCTGCTTTCTTAAATCATTCTTGGGCCTCTGCAGTCTGTTGACTGTTCTGCTGTCCTGGATGGTGGCGTGACACTGCAGATGGAATATTCGTTCATGTGCCTCCTGCTACCTGGCAGAACGGGAGGGCTCTTTCTCTGCTTTCCTACTGCAGGTGTGCATCATGGCATTCCCTGGATTTCTACCACTTGGTCATGAGGAAAATGACAAGAGGCCAAATCACAGGTTTCAGGGCAGATATGATAACCATTTTCCTTTCCGAAGCAAAACCTGGGAACATGTCACCTATATAAATACACTTCACCCCACTGGATCTGTTTAGACAGAGTACTTACAATTTGTTCTTGGTTTTGTGGTGAACTGGTGGCACCATTTAAGATCCATTGTAAGTTCTGTTCTCCCATGACCAGGCTGGACTGCAGGATGGCCGTGCTGGGCGTCGGGGTGATGGTGATAGTGGGATTATTAGTCAGGACAGAGTTGGCGCCCAGGGGCAGAGTCTGGACCATGGCCGGCAGGGGCTCAGTAGTACTTTGTGATCGGGGCGGTGCTGCCACGGCTGGTACTGCCGCTGAAGCTCCGGCAACGACAGAGAGTCCCGGTACGACGGGCTGCGGGGCCTGGGGGTGCGGAAGAAACTCTTGATGATTAGCAGCAAACTGTGTGCTGTGGGAAACAGGCACTTCTGGAGGTTGTAAGAGAGCAGAGGGGTTGCCAAATGCAGCTTGCTGGGAACCAGTTCCTAGGGAAGGAGCAGGCGGAGGAGCAGACGGTGCTGAGGCTGGTAGTAGAGGCTGGGGTGGCTCGGAGATGCCAGGCTGCAGTACAAGTGGAAGAGATAAAGATGCTGAATTTCCTGTGGATGGCGGAACATCACTGACTGACTCTGCATCACCATTAAAACTTTCAATCAAGGCAGCTGGCAAGAAAAAGAAATAGAAATATATATACATATCCCAAGCCTTACAGGAGCCACAAAAACACAGTCATCATGGCGATACCAAGACAGCTGAAGCCCGTTAGAGCCAAGAGCTTCATTCCTAGAAGGCTGGCTTCCTGCTTTCCATTTAATGACCCCTCTGGTCGAAGCGCCAGGCTTCACGACCGACCTCTCTTTCTAAATGTGAAGAGCTAGTCTAGGCTTCACCATAACAAAAAAAAATGTATTCTAAGGCTTTTCTGGAAAAGAGACTAGACATCCTTTTTTGGCATAAGCAGCGAACACGCTTTCGGACTGCTGTGAAGCTTCAGGGACAGATTTTTCATTCACACACAGAAGGATCTATGCATCTGATGCCGGTCGTGGATCCTGCCCACTCATGAGCACAGTATCGCATCAGAAGAAAGAGCTCACAGCTCCTCTTGTTTTTGAGAGCCAACAAAAGCTTTTGGAGAAGGAGACCCTCTTCTTTTGAAGGGCTAGGAAAAGGAGGCCCTCAAGTAGACTCTTGCTGAGGGAAGGAGAGGAAAAGATGGAATCAAACAAAAGGCTCATACTTCCTAGACCCCTCACCAAACGCACGCATCGTTCAAGGGAAGTGAAATCTACTTCATCGCGCCCGCATCGATGTGTCACCGAGGGAGATTCACTCCCTTGCCCGGTGCCGAGACGTGAGTAGGAAGAGAGTTTGTGGCACAAACCTGTCTGTTGAGGATCTTCCTGAATTGCTGTATCATCAGAATTCTGGAACATGGATTCGAAGATGATTGCTGGTGAAATTGTGCTGAGGTCCTGGCCCTGTGATTGATGGACAGAGACAAAGATGTGAAACTTGTCATCCTGAGGCAATTCTTCACCAGGAGAGAACACACAGCAGCAGAACTAGAATGATCTTTTTTGATACGCTTCTTGTTTCTAACTTCTTCCTTTCCAAGGTGACATTTATTTCCCTCAACCTCAGACACTGGAGATTTGGGTCCTTAGATACTCTAAAACAAGAGCCCACAAACTATGACCTGGAGACTGCATGCCTGTTTTGGGAAATAAAATTTTACTAGAACAGATGCATGCTCATTCATTTATTGTCCATGCTGTTTTCAGGCTCTGACAGCAGAGCTGAGTTTTGTCAGAGACTCTACGGTCCGCAGAGCCAAAAATATTTTACTATCCGGCCCTTTCCAAAAACAACAGCTTCCTGACCCCTGCCCTAAAAGAAGACCAAATCCTTCCTAAAAATGGGATTGTATAATATCTATTACCTGCAACCTGCTCTTCTCATGTAATAATAATATACTGTGAGTACCCTTCAAGGTCATTACATAACTTCTATAATAGTCTAACATGTATGCATGGTAATGAATCAAACAATATAAAGAAACTTTTCACGAGAGGCAGTAGTTATTGCCTTATACTCACTAATGTTTGTTACTGCAAGTTTCTTTGTAATTAAGAATTAAGAAAATGTCAGAGGCATTTTTAAAAAGATAAAATGTGTGTGGGGGGGAACATAATGCCCGGAGCATCTGACTCCTGATAGGCACTAAATAAAATGGCCATCTCCAGGCTTCTCTTTGGTGAGGGGGAGGGGACAGCAAATCTTTACCTCTAGTCCTCCCCCACCCCACATTTGGTAGGGCAGGAGTGACAGAGGCAAACGCCTCCAGGAGAGCAGGCAGGTAGCACAAGTAATGAAGCCAGGGTGGTGGGGATGGGAGGCTGGGACAAACCGGAGAGCATGCGCCCCTGGCACCTAAAGGGCTTCAGAGGAACGCTGCCCTGTGATGTGCAGACTGGGGATTTTCAGCGCTCAAGAATGGTCTGAGATTTGGATTTTTTATGTGAAATCTACTGACTTGTAATTAAAAGCAAGTAACTGAAAACAAAGCACTGTATAGACCAAACAAAACCCATCTCCTGGCCATATTTTGTGTCAGTGCCAACCTGTGTTTAAAGGTCATTTTGCAAACAACTCTGCTTCTGGGAGGGGGAAGGATCACTCTGGGCCTGGGCAAGTGTGGTGAGTGGAGCAGCCTAGAGGTCCTCGAGATGAAACTGCCCATTTGAGCCAAGGGGGCCATTCTTCTTTTTTTTTTTAATTTTTTATTGTTATGTTAATCACCATACATCATTAGTTTTTGATGTAGTGTTCCATGATTCATTGTTTGTGTATAACACCCAGTGCTCCATGCAGAATGTGCCCTCTTTAATACCCATCACCAGGCTAACCCATCCCCCTCCCCTCCTCCCCTCTAGAACCCTCAGTTTGTTTTTCAGAGTCCATCGTCTCTCATGGTTCGTCTAAGGGGGCCATTATTCTAGCATGATTCCATCGACTGGAAGATGAATCTGATTTCCAGCATGCCACACACTGAAGGCACAAATCAATACGAGGCCTTCTGCTTCCAGTGCAGAGGGAGTTAAGGATCACAGGCCAAGACAGTGGCCTTCAAACTCTTATCATGATGCAAAGTAAGAAATGCATTTTATATATACGCACATACATGCCTCACATTACATAACTATCCATATGCATAACTGTAACAAAAGTCTATGAAACTAGGGTTATCCTTACTATATGCAATGCCTTCTGATACTCTCTATTGTGTTGATACCCTAAAAATGCTGACCATAATCCCATACTTTATAACCCAATAAAAAGGCGCAACTCAGTTTGAAAAGCAGTGGGCTAACAACTCCCACTAAGCTGTCAGCTCTACAACTTCCTCATGGTGGTTATTTTTGTTTTACCTGTTTACAAAATATCAGCAGTAACACTGTTAAAAAGGAATAAACCGGTGTGACTCCAAAAGATCACCTAACGAGAATGTTCACAGCAGCACTGTCCTGATGGCTCCAAACTAGAAACTATCCAAATGCCCAAGGAAAGTAGAAAGAACAAATTGTGGTACATTCACTTAGTGTAATACTGCTCACCAAGGAGAATCAATGATCTACAACTATACAACAATATGGATTCACTTCTTAAACGTGATGTTGCAAGGAAGAAGCCAGAACAAACCGGTACAACTGGCATGATTCCAACTGTACAAAGCGCAAAAATAAGCAAAATCCATCTTAGGTTGTTAGAAGTTGGGATAGTGGTTATCCTTAGGGAGAGGTAATAGCTGTTAGTGGGCACGGAGGGTGGGAGGCTTCTGGGATGCTGGGAATGTTCTATTTCTTGATTTGCGTGCTGGTTACATGGATGTGATGAATTGTGATCATTCATTAAGCTGTACATTTGTGGGGCGCCTGGGTGGTTCAGTCGTTAAGCGTCTGCCTTCGGCTCAGGTCATGATCCCAGGGTCCTGGGATCGAGCCCTGCATCGGGCTCCCAGCTCAGTGGGGAGCCTGCTTCTCCCTCCCCCACTCCCCCTGCTTGTGTTCCCTCTCTCGCTGTGTTTCTGTCAAATAAATAAATAAGGTCTTTAAAAAAAGAAAAAGCTGTACATTTGTGATAGGTGTACTTTTCTGTATGTATATTATACTTCAATAAAAACTATTTAAAAAAAAAAAGTGCTGAAGGGACCATGACTCAGCCACTGCCAGGCTTCAGAGCACAAACCCTGGGGGCAGAGTGAGTTCAAGCAGCTCCCCAAGGTAGAGGAGACCAGAACAGGCTGAGCCTCTGGGGCCTGGAGCAGAGAGACAAAGAACCCTGGGAGCTGTCAGGGACCAAGATGGATCCCGGAGCTCAAGAGCAAAGATGCCCTGAGGATCATTCCCTAGCCACTTCAACCCTCCTTTAACAAAAGATCCGAGCAAACCAAAGCTCACTTCCAGGACACACATACACACATGGCTGCCCAGAAACCTAGAAAAGGATGACCTCGTCAAAATGTATCATTCGGTATTAACAATTCATCATTTTTTTTTTAAAGCAGAACAAAGCAAAATTAATTCTATTGCTTCAAGGAATTGTGGCCTCAGAATGAAAGACTACAAATGAGACTATTTCCAATTCCGGAATAAATGATGGGTGGTGAGGGTACACTATGTAATTTGACCCCAAGGGACAGAGCCTCTCTCGCTGATGTCAATTGTGGTAGAAAAGGCATTCCTTCCCCACCCCCCCCCAAGGACTTAATGTCCCTCTATACCAGGATTCCTCACCTTATGACTCCAGGGCTCCAGAAAGCTCTTTAGTCCTAGGTCCTGGCCCTGGCCAGGGAGTGGACGCCTAAACAAACCATTTAATACAACCTCTGAGATTAAAGAGGTATTATACCCAGAAATCTTAGGTTCCATAATTCAGAGGGCATCGAGGCCATCCAGTGTGGAAATTTCATTTTAGACTATTAGCTCTGATATGCGAAATCCTATGAAGTGCTTATCTGATGTCTTTCTCTGTTCTTCAGATTGGTTCATTTCTATTGCTCCGTCTTCAATTTAACTGGTTCTCTCTTCCATCATTTCCAATCTGCTGTTAAGCCCAACTGGTACATTTTTTATTTCAGATACATTTTCAGTTCCAGAATTTCCATTTGATATACTTTTTATAGTTTCTTTTTCTCTGCTGAGATTTCCTATTTATTCAATTATTATAATCATATTCCTTTAGGTCCTTGAGCATGAAGGAGCTACTTAGAAATTCTTGTTTACTGGGGCACCTGGCTGGCTCAGTCAGTGGAGCGTGCTGCTCTTGATCTTGGAGTCGTGAGTTTAAGCCCCACACTGGGTGTAGAAATTGCTTAAATAAATAAAACTTAAAAAAAAAATCCTTTTCTACGAATTCTAACATCTGGCTCATCTTGGGATTAGTCTCCAAGATTACCTTTGCTTTGAGTAGGGGTAATGTTTTCCTCTGTCTTATGTTTACTGATTTTAGATTACCGTGGACATTGTAAATGATATGTTGTAGAGACTCTGGATTCTGTTACACTTCCTCTTAAGAGTGTCTGTTTGTCGGCTTGACTATTCTGTTGATCTGGCTGTGCTCCAACCGCAAACTCGGTCTTCCCTGCGGGGAGCAGCAGCTGGCTCTCTGTCCAGTTCTTCAGCCTTGGCTGGGCTGCTTAGGGTCGGTCTCACACATGCACAGTTCAGGGGCCAACCAGAGAGGTGGACAGTTTATACAAAGAGCCTGGCGCTCCCACTTTGTGGCTCTTCACTTTCCAGGTGCTGCTGTGGTAGCTAGGAACTCTTTCCTCTGGTTATTCGAGCCAGTGAGCCTGAATGTTTCCTCAGTTTTAGCCATCTTGTTTGGTGTCACCTGGGGCTTGCCCTGAGGCTGATAAGCCATAAAACTTGAAAACCTATCCAGTGCCTTTGCCATTGTCCACGTGGCTCCTTCTTCCAATCTTTACCTCTGCCTTTTTGGGGGCTGCTCTTTGGTGCCTTCAAGTAGTTGTTCTAGATCATTTGGCCAACATATGTGATTGTTTTCTATGGGAGGGTTGGTCTGATAAGAGCAACTCTGCCATTACCAGAAGAATCCAAGCCTTGGAGTGCTTAGATAAAAATGCAGTGTCAGATGCCATTCCCAGGGGATACTGATGAAGCAGGCTTGGGGTGAGGCCCAAGAAGCCACGTTGTCAAAAGAGCGGCAGATGACCCCACTGACACACTCTGGGAACCAGCACACATTTCAGGACATTCCTGAGTCTTTCGGTCTCCATTCAAATACTGCCTATCACGCTGATTCCTTATTTACTCATATACTCATAGAAAATCTAACTTAAGCTATGTTTATTTACCAAAGAACAACAACAAACAATGCACACTTAACAACCAGTGTTCGTGACACAGCAAAGCACAGATCCTCATGAAGGAGCATAATAAGCTCAGGCTTCAGGCAGTGGCCTGCAAGGCACATCATGAAGCCACGGGAATGGCAGGGAAATTCCACACAGAGTGAACTGAAGCCATCCGATCAAGAGACAGTGGGGTTGCTCTTTAGAAGAGAGCCTACAGAGAAGGTTCCCTTCAGGACCCCAATGCAGTGAGCTCAAAGAAAGACAAATACAGACTCTGGTCAGATCAGCAGGGCTTGAGGAAGTCTGCAAACTGGAATTCTGGTGAATTCTGGCCCTCCCCTTATCGTGGACTAATTTTAAACTCCTCAAGGACAGACCACACCTACTTTTTTACCACTACAAGCTCAGCACCAGTACACTGCCTGATGGACTAGGCACGCAATAAATATTTGCTATGCGAATAAAAGGAAGAAATTTTCTGGGGCCAGAAGTTATCGAGTGAGTGACACGGGTCAAAAGGCATTAGACATCAGAGAGAACAACCTCTCCCATGGGGGCTCTATCGGGAAATAAACCAAAACAGCCCTAAATGGTCAGTAATTGGACATAACCAAATCTGGAAGACTGCAAAGGCTGGCCTCCCTCAATTTTCCCACCAAAGCGGAGTGCTCAATTCTTGCACTTATTTTTCTTATACTCGTATCACAGGTACACTTACTGTAGAATTTTCTCGCAGTTCAGAATCTGTGGACAGAAGGCTCAAGTCACTCAGACAAAGTGAGTGATTTGTATCCTGTGAAAGAGAAAAAATTCTAATTGAGTAACAAAAAAATCAGAATTTACAGTAGCATAGCATGTAATAAAACACTTGATCACAATGTCCCTACCTACGGTTCCAAATGTCAAGATTTGTTACTTGCAGAGGTAAAAACCACCCAAAGAAAGGGCTATGTGAATTATTTTAATTTTTAAAATCCTGATATTCTTAGAAGACTGTCTTATATTTCTTAAAGATAGTTAATAGAAGAGTTTAAGAAATCTCATGACTCCAGCTCCAAGTAACAAAAGCTGTAATAATATGAAATTAGTAATATTTGTATAATTGGTCTTATCCTTTACAAAGCAATTTCACACGACCTCATCTGCTATTCATATGAACCTGAAGTATTATTTTATATTCCCATTTTAAGTATGAGAAAATTAACGCTAAGACTGGCAGTGAACTGCCCAAAATCACATAACTAATTAGCAGAACACAGACCCAGTGCTTCTGATGGGAACTCCACTACTGTATCACTGTGTCCCCAGCATCCTAGGGATTCTTACTCAGCAGTACTGAGGACTGGCTTTCAAATACGACTGCCTCGGCTAACTCTGAACTCTGGATTCCTAGAATGCCAGCTGCAATTCACACACTTTAAGTGGTATCCCTGCTTACCTCATGGATCAGATGTTTCTATTCAGACATGCATTCAACAAATAGTCACTGAGCGTCTACTATGTATTAGGATCTGTTCCAGGCCCAGGGATACAATAATGAACAAAACAAGGTCCCAAAACAAGGTCCCTGCCACCAGAGAGCTTACATTGTGGCGGGGGGGGGGGGGGGCGGGGCGGGGGATGACAAAATCCCCGAAGAATACAAGATGATGCTAAATGCTACGGAGGGTAAAGGGAATAGGGAATGCCGGGGCAGGAGATGCCCTTTTATTAGATCAGAGGAGGCCTCTTAGGTAAGCTGGCATTTGAGCAGATACTGAAGGAAAGAGAGCATGGGCCATGCACATCTCTGGGAAAAGTGTTCTAAGCAGAGGGTACAGCAAGTACAAAGTCCTGGAGGCAGGAATGGGCTTCCCTTGTTCGAGGCACTACGAAGAGGACAGTACAGTAAAATGAGAGAAAGAGAAGTAAATGAGGCCAGAGAAGTGACCAGACCAGGATCTATAGGGCCCTGTGGGCCACTGTAAGATCCTGACTTTTGCTCTAAGTGATGCAAGAAGCTACTGGAGAGTTATGAACACAGAAGAGGCATTATTTGCCTTATGGCTTAGAAAGATTGCTCTGGGTGAAATAGGCAAACCAGTCCGTGTCAAGGCAGAGTGGGAGTAGGGAGAAGGAGAAAGGTGTGAGGAAGATCACTTAGTGGTTACCGCAGTAATCCAGACAAAAGGTGACCGCAGCCTGAACAAAGTTATCAGAAATGATCAGATTCTACATATATTCTCATGGTAGAGCTGACGGACTTTGCTGGCAGCTGTGGGATATGAGGGGAGAGAAAGTGGTATCAAGAACGACTCCAAGACTTTTGGCCTGTGCCACTGAAAACACAGAGGTACCATTTACTAAGGTGGGGACCTGTAGGTGGAGGAGGTTTGGACATATCAAATTTGAGAAGACAGAGGTTTTCTGGGTTGAAGAGGGAGGCTGAATATATTGCTCTTCCTCAACTTACAGTGCAGCTACGTCCTGATAAACCCAGCCTAAGTCAAAAATGCACTGAATACCTAACTTTCCACACATCACAGCTCAGCCTAGCCTACCTGAAACACGCTCAGAACGCTTACATTAGCCTATAGTTGGGCAAAATAATTTAACACAAAGCTGATTTTATAACAAAGTGCTGACTAGCTCCTGTAACTGACTGAATACTGTACTGAAAGGGAAAAAAGAGACCAGTTGAATGGGTCTGGAACAGTTGGAAGTGTTATCCGTTGTTTACCCTTGTGACTGCAGGGCTGACAGGGGGTTGTAGCTTGCTCCCACTGCCCAGCATCACAAGAGAAGATCATACAGCCTACTGTTAGACCAGAAAAAGATTCAAATCAAAATTCAAAGTACAGTTTGTACTGAATGCATATCACTTTCACACCCATAAAATCAAACCATCCTAAGTGGGGCCTGTCTGTACAAGGCTAGAGTTCAGGAAGAGATCCAGGCTGGTGATCTTTACTTAGGACTCAGAGGCAATCTAGACGGCATTGAAAGCCTGGGACAAGAGGAGCTTCCCTTTACTGGCGAATGAGCTGCGACCCAGAGAAGACGAGACCTGAGCACCATGCACTGGGTTGTCCCAGTGCTTAGGGGCTGTCACCAATTAAAGTGTCCTTGTATTGTCACATGAATGAGAAGATTGGTCACCACTTAGTACAGGCAGCTTAGTAGACGAAGACTCTCAGATCTTAATATTTTTATCTGGTTTTCCAGAAGAGGAAACTGAGGCACAAAGAAGCCATTTGCCTAAGGGCATCCATCTGATCAGTAGTGGAGCTTGGATCTGAATTCAGGCAGCTGAGCTCCATAGGCCACAGCAGCCACAGCTAATGTTATTTTGCCTCTCACAACATAGGGGTCAAGAACCAGGCTCTGGAATCAGACTGCCTATCTAAATTAGAGTAATTACAAGCTTTGGATACTTACGCAAGTCATTTAATTTCTCCTTGTCTCAAAAGTTTCATTATCGGTAATGTGGAGCTAATAATAGTATTGGCCTCACAGAGCTCTTTTAAGTGAGATAATCCATATAAAAGCACTTAGCACCAAATTTGGCACAAGGTAAACACTCAGTAAATGTTAGTTATTATTACTAATAAGATACAGGGGCAGAATCTGTTTGAAGGAATCCTTTGCTATTTAAAAATTGGAAACTGGGAGCCTGGGTGGCTCAGTTGGTTAAGCAACTGCTTTCGGCCCAGGTCATGATCCTGGAGTCCCGGGATCGAGTCCCGCATCAGGCTCCCTGCTCGGCGGGGAGTCTGCTTCTCCCTCTGACCCTCTTCCCTCTCGTGCTCTCTATCTCTCATTCTCTCTCTCTCTCAAATAAATAAATAAAATCTTTAAAAAATAAATAAATAAATAAATAAATAAATAAATAAAAATTGGAAACCACAGAATTAAAGTATGCTGTCTCTCCCCAAATCAAAATCATATTACCTACTTTAGGGAAAAACCTCATTTTTCAAAAGGAGGTCAGTGTGTTTCAGTTCCTTTATCTATGAAACAGTAAGATGATAATAATAATGCTCACTTCCTAGGTTTAAGAGACATACATAAGTGCTCAATATGTTAGAAGTAAGAACAGTAGGGGTGCCTAGGTGGCTTGGTCGGTTAAACATATGACTCTTGATTTCGGCTCAGGTTTTGATCTCAGGGTTGAGATCGAGCCCCGTACTGGGCTTCACACTTAGTGGAGTTTGCTTCTCTCCCTCTCCCTCTGCCCCTCCCCATGTGCTGTCACTCTCTCTCTCTCTCTCTCTCCCTCAAATAAATAAATAAATCTTTAAAAAAAAAAAAAAAAGAAGAAGAAGAAGTAAAAACAGCAAATTTCTCCCAGGACCTCTCCAGAACGGAGCTGCAGAGGAGAGGGAAATACGGTAGAGGGGCTTGGCAAAGAACAGACCAACTGTCCAAAACTGCAGAAGAATGTTCTGTGGTTCAGCACCTCCCGTCAGTGGCTCTCAAACCTTCTGGCCTACAGACAGTTCAAAAGGGTAAGGAACCTTCCAGATTCTCCCTGGTTCTCCAATGATAGATTAAACGGATGTATGAAGCAAAGCATTAATCTGTGTTCCAAACTCAAGTACAGATGTACCATTTCGTAGACACAAATGAGGAAATAAGACCCTTTTAGAGCATCTGGCTGACCCATCCGAGACCTCTGGTTACAAGGCACCTCTTGCACCATATCTGATGGGAAGGAGGCAGAGCCGAATCAAAAGCTGAAGTACAGGGCGCCTGGTGAAATGTCTGGCTTGCACCATCCTGTCACAAAGACACAGATCTTGACCCTGATTTCTTCTCTCTCACTGACGGATACATAGAGAAGACGTTTTGACCTTTTATTTTGATATACAAACAACTGTTGCTGTTCCATGTTGCCCAGATCAAAACAAGGGACAAAACACCACGCACCTCTGATCCACTGTGATTTGGAAGTGCATTGTATGAATGTCCTTTGTTATCGTGACCTTTCATGTGACTTTTGAGACTGTACTGAGTGCTGAATGTTTTCTCACAGCCATTACTGGGGCAGAAAAAGGGTCTTTCACCTGCAAGAATGACAAATAGTGTTAATATTCCCATAGTCATTTCACTGGATTCAGACATCTACTTTTCCCTAACAGAGGGAAGTAAATATTCCTGAGGGTTCAGGTAACGGTCGTTACAAGTTGGACAAATTACATGCTAACCATTTCAGTCCTAAAACTAAATGTAGAGCAAACAGAGTCTGCCCTGGCAAGTTTAAAGAGAAGATATGTTTTTTCCCCCTCAGCTTCTTCTTTTGAGAATCTCTGCACTGGTTTCATTTCTTAAGGTTGGATTCCTGAGTCCAACCTTTAGATCCTTTTACCTCTGAAAGAAACTCAAACATTATGGGTGAAAGCTAAGCTGATTAGGCTTGCTTGTTCCACGAAGCTTTACAGGTCCCAAGGGAAACACAGATATTTACTGGCTTGATGAAGGTTAAGAGGAAAACTACAAATCAGCCTAAACTCACCAGTATGTGTACGGACGTGAGTTTTAAGGTGGTGGCTTGCCGCAAACGCCTTCCCACAGCCATCATGATCACACCTAAGGAAGTTGTTTAAGCAAAAAGAAACAGCAGTCATTAGGGAAACAGGTCTTTATCGTCACCATCTCTTATAAATACAAGCTCAAACTAAAACACATGTTCAGAACACTGAGCTCTCATCGAGGAAATTGGTTTTAGAGATGGGAAATGAAGACAGGTCACTGGAAAAAGTGACAGATCTGGGAACAGAGGGAACTGATGATCCAGGATAAATATTTCTTGTCCTACAAGTAAGTCACATGTTGAGAGCTCTGACAATAAAAGTCTTTTGATCAATTACTTAGCAAAATTCTACTGACGATCCAGAGCTGATATGGAAAATCTACTGCCAGTGGAATACCAGGGATGTCAATAGTGGGGACAGAGGCTCTCACAGAGGCCGGAAGCCTAAAATACAACACTACAACAAAATCAGTCCCAACTACATTGACCTTATAATATAGAATGTATAGTGGCTGTAATGACTTATTTATAATCTTCAGTGTCAAGATCCACTTCTTTCTCTTTTACTTTCTTGATAACCAGCACTGGAAGTAATCTCTCCCTCCTGGGAACTCCTGAGGCATTTACCTATGTGCTTCTTTTATGGCATCTGTCATTTCCAATCTTATTTTATCTCTACGTGTATACATTTGTTATCTGTTCTCCTAGATTATAAACTCTTTGAGGGCAGGGTCCAAGTAGTCCTTTACCTCTGCTGTAGTTCTTGCACACAGCAGGCATTCAGTAACTATTTATATGAATGAATGCATTTTCTTGTAAGCCAAAGTATTTTATTTCTTTAAATAGAAAGTTTCTCTGGAGCATTTTACTTCTTAATTATATATAATCATGTGTCTAAAGCCACATCTAATATTCAAGAAAAATGAGCAGTTTTAATCACCAAAAAATGCATGTGATTGAATAGAAATTAGAGTCCCCTCAACAGCCCTATGGGGGAAAAAGTAACCCAAGCGTCGCAAAATGTGGAGAGTAATCAACTAGAATTTAAATACTCTTGCTTTTAGGGGCGCCTGGCTGGCTCAGTCAGTAGAGCATGTGACTCTTGGTCTCAGGGTTTTGAGTTCAAGCCTCATGTTGGGCATACAGCTTATTTACTTACTTACTAAAAAAATACTCTTGGTGTTAGAGGGGCTATGACTCAGGAATGAATCTTTTTATTTTTTTTTTTAAAGATTTTACTTATTTATTAGACACAGCGAGAGAGGGAATACAAGCAGGGCAAGTGGGAGAGGGAGAAGCAGGCTTCCCGTGGAGCAGGGAGCCCGATGTGGGGCTCGATCCCAGGACCCTGGGATCATGACCTGAGCCGAAGGCAGACGGTTAACGACTAAGCCACCCAGGCGCCCCTGAATCTTTAATTTTAAAACACCATTCCATTCAGTTGATGTTTAAGAGCCGACTGCCCCTGAAGACAGGGGAACCATCTACGGGTCCTGAGAAGGAGATGGATGACTTGAGAGGGGGAAGGTAGCACATTTGATGCCATGTACGTAACAGCAGTCTCTCCTGCCACAGTTCAGAGACAATGTTTATGGGCAATTTTCAGTAATACATCTATATTATATTTAGGGGAAATCCTTATAAACTGATTATCTTATTTAAAAAAGTCATATGGGGCACCTGGGTGGCTCAGTCATTAAGCGTCTGCCTTCAGCTCGGGTCATGGTCCCAGGGTCCTGGGATCGAGCCCCGCTTTGGGCTCCCTGCTCAGTGGGAAGCCTGCTTCTCCCTCTCCCACTCCCCCTGCTTGGGTTCCCTCTCTCGCTGTGTCTCTCTCTGTCAAATAAATAAATAAAATCTTTAAAATAAATAAATAAATAAATAATAAATTAAAAAGTCATATAATCATCCCAAAGTTGTTTTTGAACCCCTACTGAATGCCGAGCCCACACTCTACACTATGAGCAGAGAAGAAGGTAGATGGTACAAGTCCTTCCTTCAAGGTTACCTGTCTACATGTGGATGTATTAAATATACATACATACATACACAGGTATATACAGATTGAAATACAGACAAAAATGGATGCTCCTATACGTATGTGAATACACACATATTACAAGGCAACAACTAAACAAGGCACAAAATAAAATACCTGTATTCTCACCCCTCAATCTGCCCTCTCATCTCCTCCTTTCCCCACCTCGATTTTTAGGTAGCTCTCCTTTCCGTTGTGCTCAAAGTCATTTGGGCACCTCGGCGGCATGTACTGTCTGGTTACTTGCGGTTTCTTTCTCACCAGACTACGTGCCCAAGAGAAGAGCGTGTGTCTTAGTATTTCTCTAGCACCGATAAAAGTGCCTCCCACTTTAAGTGAGTCTCAACAACTGCTTGTTGAAAAAGGGAAAGCATGAGGCGGAAAGGCTACCACCAGAGTCCAGAGTAAGGATGCTTTTAGAACCCACCGCCACTCCTCCTGTGTGCGGCAGTTGGTTGTAGCTGCCAAAGAACTAGCGGAGGGAATTTTCTTTCCGCTTTGAAAAATGTCAGGGCCACATGAAGACACCCATCTGCAACCTGGTCGGCGACAGACAGACAACAGTAAGACTTACCGAAATGGCTTTTCTCCTGTATGGGTTCGAATGTGCTTCCTCAGATCGCTGAGTGTGGTGAAGTACTTGCTGCAGCCTTCGGATTCACAGTTAAACGTTTTCCCTGTGTGAAGCCTCTGATGTGCTTTCAGCCTGCGTGATAGTCCAGAGATAAAGTCCCTCTGTCATTTGCATAATGTACGACAGAGCCTCCCCTCCCATGTCAGCTTAATGTGCTTCAGGATCCAGTGCCTAAGAATTCCATATCCGTAATATATTAGTATGCAAAACTTTTTGCTTGAAGGGAAATTCAGAGAAGTATGTAGCCTAGTGGTAGGAGTGTGACTGTGCAGCCAGACTGCCTGGGACTCAAATCCTGGTCCCACTTCCTACTGGATGGGGGGGCCTCAAGCCAGTTACAAAACCTCTCTGTGCTTCCACTTACGTATCAGCTCTGTGAGGATTAGAACTCAGGACAGTGCTCAGCACACCGTGGGTGCTTGCTAAGCGTTACATATTGCCACGTTTGTTATTTTAGACCCAAAGTTGAAGACTAACAGAAGTCTCCTGATACAAACAGTGTACAAGAGAACTGGCTAACGAGTGGTAGAAAAAAGTTATCTTCAAGGTGAGGAAGGAAAGAAAATGACAGAAGCCTCTGTACAAGACCCTGAGCCAAGGGGAGGCAACAGTACAAGTATTAAAATCCCCAGGCCAGTACGTCACTCCCGGAGATACAAATCTGAACACGAATGTACTATCCTTTTTAACCAACCCCATATATGTCAATCTTTAAGTAACATGTTCCTCCAGCGAATTTTAAACAGTTGAGAGCACAGCTGTGCTCTTCATTTTATTTTTTAATATTATTTTTTTAAGTAGGCTCCATGCCCAGCATGGAGCCCAGAATGGGGCTTGAACTCACAACCCTGAGATCAAGACCTAAGCTGAGACCAAGAGTCGGACGCTTAACGGACTGAGCCACCCAGGCGCCCCCGAGCTTTGCCCTTTAAAGCGCTGGAAGTGCCCATCTGCACAGGGCAAGGAGAGGGCTCCTCAATCACAAGGTCAGGGTCAGGGGTTGGAGGAGTGGGCGACCTGTACAGCGTGTTGAACGCCTTCTCACAGCCCTGCACGTCGCACTCAAATGGCTTCTCCTTCGTGTGCACTCGCACATGGATCCTGAGGCTGTAGGAGGTGAGGAAGGCCTTGCCACAGCCCTCCTGATTGCAGACGAAGGTGTACTCTCCTCGGTGAGTCTTCTGGTGGGTGCGCAGATTGCCTGCTGTGCTGTAGGTGCGGGGACAGCCCTCAAAGGTGCACTGGTACCGCTTTACCTGGCAGACAAAGGACACCTCATCAATAGGACAGAAGAGCTGCCGGGGGCCTAACTCCCCCCAGAGCCTGGCTTCCAGGACATGTGGACACACAGAGGTCCGTATCATAAACACAGAAAACAACCGCTAAGAACAAAGTGGGGAAATCTTCCCCTTGATCAAATCACGCCAGAACAACACATAATAAGTCACGGGGATGAGATAAGCTTGTAGGCAGATGAATATTCTAAATGAATATACTAAGGGGGGTTTTCAAACTCTAGTATACATCTAGCATCTAAAGGTGGGCCCATACTGTTATAGTTACCTATACTGAAATAACATTTTGGCTTTTTTTTTTTTAAGATTTATTTATTTATTTTAGAAAGAGAGAGAGAGAGAGAGAGAGAGACTGAGACTGTGCGTGCAGGGGAGAGGGACACAGAGAGTCTTAACCAGACTCCCCGCTGAGCACGGAGACTAACACGGAGCTCGATCTCATGACCCTGAGATCCTGACCTGAGCCGAAACGAAGAGTTGGACGCTTAACGACTACACCACCCAGGCGTCCCTTGGCTTTGTTTTAAGGCTTGATTAAACACCCTGCTTTATGGCACCCCACCTTGATTGGAACTGACCAATGTTAAACTGGGTCTAAGACATCCTGACATTGACATACTCAGTCATCAAGTGGTATCTCCCTAGCATAGTTTCCACTGCAAAGTTTCAAGTCTATGAAATGAAAATACCGTATCGTGAATTTCTCGGAGTATTTGCTGGTATGACATTTCTCAAAATGCCAGCCTCTCGGTTTCACTTTCACCACCAAACTTCTTGAGAGGGTGGCATACACGTGTGCCTGCATCTCCCTCGATGCCCACATATTCCTTAACAACTTGGCAGGCTGGTTTCACTGCAGGAAATTATTCTCTTGCCCTTCCCAGTGGCCAAACCCTTCCATCCTTCTCCATTTGCCTTTGCTTATTTGCAAACCTCTTGTATCGCCCTCCCCTCCTGAAAACTCGTCCTTCACAGCACAGCAATTCCACAGGGCTCTCTTTATCTTCTTCTCCTCCTCGGAGCCACGCCTTTCCCTTCACCTTGATATGTAGGTTTATTCTGGAACTTACCTCTCTCCTCCCTTGCCTGCCCCAGTGCAAGGGAAGCAGCCTTAGACGTGGCTAGAGGAGACTGAATTTCTGGCACTTATGTTCAAGACCTTCCACAACCCATTTTGCTTCTCTGAGCCTCAGTTCTTTATTTCTCAAATGAGTATTAATGCCTACCCTGCCTGTCTCATGGTGCTGTGGAGTGGAACGAAAGGAGATCAAACATTTGTGAAAATACGTGGTGAGTGATTTGATGCTGTACACACCAGGGTGCTAGTATTGTCTCCTCTTCAACTTTCGCCGACATCTTCATCCTTTGACCCGACCTTGCTCCAAAGCCAGTCCACATCTCCAACTACACTGTTAGTATTCATTCCACAGTTACTGAACTCTCAGGTCCCAGGCAACAAGCTAGATACCGTATCAGATAAATAAGTGAACAAGACAAAATCTCTGCTTTTAAGGAGTGCCAATTTTAAGGAGGCATATGTGCACAAATTATTATAATCTATGCTGAGCCCGACAACAGATATTTGCCCAAGGTGCCTAGGGAATATAAAAAAGGGAAACCTAACCCTTCTCGGAAAGACTGGAAGTAGTAAAAGGCTCAGAAGCTGAGGTCCTCTCTCCGAAGTGTTTTCTTCACTTGCCTGTTTGTTGTAGGGTATAAACTGAAAATGTGTTCCTCAGACAAACCAGGAAGAGAAGGGCAGTCTAAAAAGTGGTGACACAGGGCGCCTGGGTGGCTCAGGAGGTTAAGCATCTGACTTCAGCTCAGGTCATGATCTCAGCGTTGTGAGATCGAGACATCAGCCTCCCTGCTCAGTGGGGAGTCCGCTTTTCCCTTCCCATCTGAACCCCCTCTCAAATAAAAAAAAAAAAAGAGGTGCCACCTTAGGAACTGCATGGAAAGAGGAATGAGTGTGCTGGTACAGGGATCCACAAACATACCTGCAGTATGTAAGAGGCTATAAGGAGAAGGATCTAGAAAAATAAGGTGAGGCCTCCTTGGTCAAGCTATGGAGTAGAATAGGACAATGGGAGCTCACCAACGGATTTCAACCAAAAGAGCAACATATCAGATCTGCAGTCTAGGAGGGATCCTTCTGGTAGCCTAGTGGAAGATGGACTGGAAGGGTAAGAGAACAGAAGAAGGCACAGAGCCTAAGAGAAGAGGGACAACAGTCCAGGAGGGGATGAGAAGAACCTGAACGGGGAAGTGAGAGTGGACAGTATGAGAGATGAATTCCAGAGAAATTAAAGGCGGAGGAATGACTGGGCATACTGGCAAATGGGTGCTGAGAAGCAGAAGGGGTTAGGGAGAGGCAAAGTTGAGGTCAAGAGTATGGCCTGGATGACTAAACAGATGGTCACACCACCAAGCTGGGGCTGGATGGAGGGTGGAGAAGAGATCATGAGTTGGCTTTGAGGTGCTGCGAGGACTTCCAGGTAGAAACTTCTAGTAGACAGACATACAGGCTGCAAGCTGAAAGGAAAGCCTACGGCAGGAGTCATCAGTACACGTAGATGATTTAACCTATAGCAGGCTCTGCTTCAAGCCCAGCTCTTCCACTTATTCTGGAACCCTGGGAAAATTACTTAAGTGCACTAAGCCTCACTTTGCTTATTTATAACATGGAGAAAACAAAACCTATCTTTTTAGGTTTGTTGTAAGGATCAAGAATAATTTGTGTAAAGCATTTAAATATAGTGACAGGCGGTGTATCATAGGTATACAATAAAATAATAGCTCTTGTAAGAGGACAAAGGCTAGATCTCGGAAAGTCACCAATGTGTAAGGTGCTGGTAAGAGAAGCCACTGACAGGTGAGTAGGGGGAGGGGCGGGGAAAACAGGAAGAGATAAGGAGAACGATGGCACAGAAGCCAACAGAAAAAGGATCTCAAGGAAAAAGAACGATCCAAACATGAAATGTCTGAGAAAATAAGGAAGACAGGACTGAGGAAACTCCTGGATCCAACAGCTAGGAATCTAATGGCTTAGCAAGGCTAGTTTTAATGGACTGCTGGGGCCCGAAGTCTGGAGGAAGGTGAATAAACCAAAGGTGAAGCAGAGGTAAAGATGAGAGATGGATAGCAGCAGCAAGAGTGGGCTTCTGAGTTGATGAGGATTTCTTCCTTCCTTCCATCCTTCCTTCCTTCCTCCCGCCCTTCCCCTTCTTCCTTCCCTTTCTTCCTTTTTCTTTCTTTTTTTTTTTTTTTTTTTTTGGTTGGGTAGGTCCTGAGCATATTTGGAAGGAGAAAGGTCCCGGAAAAAAAGAGAAGCTGAGGATCTGAGAGGAATATAAAAAGGAGAAGGGTATTTAAAAGGTCAGTGGAGGGGCGCCTGGGTGGCTCAGTTGTTAAGCGTCTGCCTTCGGCTCAGGTCATGATCCCGGGGTCCTGGGATCGAGCCCTGCATCAGGCTCCCTGCTCCACGAGAGGCCTCCTTCTCCCTCTCCCACTCCCCCTGCTTGTGTTCCCTCTCTCACTGTGTCTCTCCCTGTCAAATAAATAAAATCTTAAAAAAATAAAATAAAAATAAATAAATAAATAAATAAAAGGCTAGTGGAGGGAAAAACCTCAGGTGGGAAGAAGGACAGGCAACTTGAGAGCGGAGAGGGACTGAGGTAAGGACAGGTGTGTTCAAGGGTGTACAAGGTTTCCATAAAAGGCCAAATGGTACATATTTAAGGCTTTGTGGGCCATGCAGACTCTGTTCCAACCACTCGACCCTGCTGCTATTATGTGAAAGTAGCCATAGACAATATATAAATGGACAAGCCAGGCTGTGCTCCAGAAAAACTTAATTTATGGACAGTGGGATTTGAATTTCGTATCATTTTCATATATCATGAAATACTATTCTTCTTCTGATTTAAAACAAATCATTTAAAAATGTAAAAACCACTCTACAAACACAGGCATCTGGATGGACTGGGCCTGTGGGCCACAGTTTGCCAAACCCTAAAACCTGTGGGTGTGGGGAAGGGAGGAGCCCTAACTCCTCCCGTCTCCCCTCCCATTCCTTGTCTCATCTGTCCAACCCCCAACACAAATCTTGCACAAATGCTCCCTCACTTTTCATTCCGCAGCCTTCCCACTACTACACAGGAGGTGCTCCGTCAATACTTGATGACAATGGAATGACTGACTCCGAAGTCCAGGCGTTCTCATGTTTCGGTGCCTATGTCTGAAGCCAATCGTTCCCAGATCTGTTCTACAATGTGTTCTCCACATGCCACCTCTATGCTCAGATGCGAACGTCCCTTCGCCTGATATTCAAGGTCCCCCTGTAGGTGTCTTCCGCCTTCTCCCCTGGGACTCCATCACCAGCCCAACAGGAGTCTCTGTTTGAGCCTACAGGCAACAGGACCCCCGATTCCCTAATCGCCACAGTTGAGTCCCCACTCGCCTGCCTCTGCTCTCTCCATTCTCTCTGCTGGAAGTGCCTGCTTCCTTCTCTGCTTTTCTGAGTCTCTCTCTTCCTTCCATTCAGGCCTCACTACCTCCAAGGTGCTCCAGGATCAACACATGAAGTGACAGTGCCCTTCTCTGAATTCCAATCATATTAAACTGTACCACTTATTTGGCACTTAGCCTGTGTTGTTAATTTTCCTCTCGTGCCTATATCCTGATTTCCCATCAAGACTGAAAACCTCGTTGGTTCTGCCAGGCAGAGATTTCAAAACAGTCACCGACCAGGAAGGAGAAGCAGGACTGTGGCCGCCGCAATAAAAGAGTAGCATGTCTCCGTCAGAGTGCGTCAACAATGGCGGCTGATAAGAGCAGACTCTCATTCTTAAGATGCGACAGCAGCTGGTCACTTTATAAGGAACAGTGCAATCAATCATTAACTACCCCTCCCTGTCTCCTTGCCCTGCCAACCCCACTCCCGTCCAGGATTTTCACTT